GCACAGCGGGTAGGGCGTTTGCCTTGCACGCGGCCAACCCGGGTTTGAATCCCAGAATCCCATATGGTCCCCTGAGCACCGCCAGGAGTAATTCCTGAGTGCAGAGCCAGAAGTAACCCCTGTGCATCGCCGGGTGTGACCAAAAAAAGCAAAAAAAAAAAAAAATGTTCCCCTTACTACCACGGATGGCTGACAGGGGAGCCGGTGCCGGGCGCCCCAGCGCAGCCCAACAGACACAGGAGGGCAGCACAGCTTGGAAGCTGAGCACTGGGCCACAAGGTCGAACTCTTCAGAACTAAGATCTGGGCCCCGGAGGTTTGGGGAATCAGGCCCTTGGGATGAGGAGGGACAGGGCACAGGGCATAAGGTCTTGCCCGTGGCTAACCCAGGGTCAACTCCCGACACCACCAGGAGTGATCCCTGAGCACAGAGACAGGAGTCAGCCCTGAGCATCGCTGGGTGTGTCCCCAAAACAAAAATAAAAACAAACTACAATCCGGGCCTCCGAGGAAGGGCTGGAACTCTTGCTCTGCGTGGGAGCCGGCAGGCCCCTGAGCCTCAGCCAGAAATAGCACTGGCTGTGGTCCCCAAACCCAAACCCAAACCAGCCCAAACAAATGGAACAGAAAGGGAGGCAGGGTGGGGCCAGGACACAGAGCACTCGCCCCACGCAGGGGAACCCACCCCGGCAGAAGAGAAGTAAGCTGGCCTCGCGGGGCCCCTAGCCCGGCCCAGCAGCTGAAGGCCCGGTGAGAAACCAGGAGACCAGAACTTCGTGTTTCTGCAGAGCTTCACAGCCAAAGTCACAGTGCCCGTCACAAAGGCCCACAGCCCCCCAGAGACCCCCGAGCCCAGCAGGAAGTGGGCTGAGCCGGCCACAGGCCCTCCCTCGGGCTGAGCGCCTCAGTTCCCACTTCACAGAGGAGAACGCGCTGGGCACCCCCCAGAGCCCCTCCCCGCCAGGGCCTGTGTCAGAGGCTGCAGGCTCAGAGACCAGCCTTCAGACTGGACCCATCCAGGGGGGCTTCAGCCTCCCGCATCCCACACGCCAGGCCTTCCAGGCTGCACCTGGGAGCACTGCACGGCGAGTCTCCCCCATACTCACAGCGCGGCCTCGGGGTACAGCCGGGGAGCCCCGTGATTGCCTGTCAGCTGTTTGTTAGTTTGGGGGCCACACCTGGCGGTGCTCAGGGGTCACTCCTGGCATTGCTCAGGGCACCCTAGGGGTATGCTGGGATTAAACCCGGGGGGGCTACGTGCACGGCAGGTGCCCTCCCCGCTGTGTGGTGACTCAGGTCCCGGCGAATGCCTGTGAAAAAAGCCCCCTCCCTCCCTCCCTCCCTCCCTCCGAGGAGGGGACCCTCCCCACAGGATGCCTGACCGCATGCTTGGCGGACCCCGCATGTCTGAGGAAGTGGCCACAGAGCTGGGACCCGCCGGGGTGGTCTGCCGGTGGGCAGCGACGTGCCCTCCTGACTGGAATGCCCTTCAGGCCGGGGGTCGGACACTGGCACAGCTTCCGGAGCGACCTTTATGTTCCTCAGTGAGATGACTCTATTTTCCGTATCCCCCCCCCCTTGGTAGCTATCCCAGACCGTGTGGCTGCCTCCGGGATTTGAACTCTGAACTCCAGAGGTTGCCTTAAGCTCCCGTACATAAGCTCTCTTCTTGGTTGGTTTTTTGGGGGGACACCGCTCTGTGGCAGAAGGGGTGCTCAGGGATCACTCCTGGCGGGGCGTGAGGTATGACAAGCTTGGGACTGAATCCAGATTGGGCACATGCCAGGCACACGCCTGCCACTGGCCTCTCTGTGGCAAAGACAAGCCCTGGCCACGCGGAAGCAGGTTCAAAGGACCTGGGGCCTCCGCTGCTGATTCCGCTGAGGAAAATCCCAGCCAGGGAGGGGAAGGGCTGTGCTGAGCCCCCTCCCTCCCTTCGAGCAAGGGCCAGAACTCGCTCTCCTGTTTCAGGCAGGCCGGAGGACCCTCAGGGGCGGGAGGTTCGAGTCTCACAGCTGCGGGCTCCAACTCTGGAACTGAAAGTGGTGAGATAAGAACTCTGCACGCGAGTCGGAGTCGGACGCCTCAGGAAAGCCAGACCCGGGCTGGGGAGAAGCGCAGCGGGCAGGGCGTCGGAGGCTGACCCCAGCACCGGGCATGGTTCCTGAACCCAAGGGACTGATCCCTGAGCACTGAGCCAGGAGGCAGGCCTGAGCACTGCCGGCTGTGGCTCCCTGAAAAATAAAAACGGCCCAGACGACTGCACGCCCCGCCTCCAGCGCAGCCCTGACCTGAGCGGGCGAGTCGCTCATCCTTCTGCTTGTTCTCAGTTTGGTTCCGGGGGCAAGTTGCTCCCCATCCTCTGCTCCCTTTGGCTTGGGTGTGGGGACCACAGTCAGCAGTGCTCAGGGCTATTCGGGGCTGGGGTGCTGGGGTCAAGGCCAGCGTCCACCAGCACAGCACACACGCCTTGTGGCCTTGGAGGCGACAGCGGCTGCAGGCAGGGCACTGGCCTCGCACTTCCGACACACGCTGCCCCGGGACCCAAAACAAAGGAAACCCACCTGCCAGCCCTGGCCCCTCCGCCCCTGAACACTGGCTGCCCGCCCTGGGGGCCACCCGCCACGGTGTAACAGTGCTGACCCAATCACATGCCGGCCTGCGCTGAGGCGGGCACAGGCGTGTCGGGCCTGCAGCCAGCCAGGGGAGGTGCCTGGTTAGTCAGTGTGACTGACCCAAACAGCTCATCCGGGGACCCAGCCCGGATCCCAGCAGGCCCCACCCGGCTGGCCCCAGCGACCTTTCCTGGACAGCCGTCACCCTCTCGGGCCACCAGGCCCTGGGAGCACAGCGGGACTCAATAGAGACTGTGTGCATGAGAGTCTGAGTGTGTGTGGGCATGTGTGGGCGACTGCTGTGTGAGCGTCTATCTGGGTGTGTTGTATGAGTATGTTGTATATGTATGTGTATATGAATGTGTGTGTGAAACTGTTGTGTGTTGTGAGTCCATGAGTGTGTGAGACTGTTGTGTGTTGTGAACCTGTTTATGTCTATATGAGCGTGTGTATGAGTATGTGAGATTGCTGTGTGTTGTGAGTCTGTGTGTGTGAGACTGTTGTGTGTTGTGAGTCTGTGTGTGTGTGTGTGTGCGTGTGTGTGGCGAGTTGGGTCCCTGCATCCTGCCCTGTCTTGCCGAGGAGATGGCCCTGCTGACCCCCGGCACCCTGGAGGAGGCTCTGCATCTGGGCGTCATCCAGCCTGAGGGCAGGGAAGGGGCCGGTGCAGCTGCCCCTCAAGGTCCACCGGTCTGGGCCTGGGTATGCAGAGGGGACACGGTGGGACAGGATGAGGAGGACCTGCAGGGGACAGCGCTCAGGGGCCCATGGGGAGTGTGGAGGCTGGGGCCTGGCCCACCACGCAGCCGAAGGATGCCCCATGGGGATTCTGGCCCCCACCTCAGGGCACCCCCTGACCCTGCTCCCCGCTGACCTCAGGGCACCACTGACCCTGCTCCCCACCTGGCATTTATGGGGCATTACAAGTCCCGCCCCGGCCCCTCACTCTGGAGCCTGGCCAGCCCATTAGACACCCAGGGGACCCTGCCGCAACCACGGGGCCAAGCAGGGGTCTGAAGGCTCGCCCTGCGGTCCCCTCCCCCACCTGTGCTAGGTGTTCGGGAACCCGGAAGCTTCCTTCCCTCCAGCCCCCTGACTGAACTATGGGGGGACACTGCCCAGTCGGGACTGTACCCCGGCTCAGGGAGTCCCACCGCAGGGGTGAGGGGGACGGGAGTCACAGACAGACAAACAAGAACAGCTGGAGAGGCAGGTGGGAAGCCCAGCACCTGGTGTGCCCGAAGTGGGCATCAGGGGGACTCACACCCGCCCCTCACTGCAGTGGGCTGGGCGTCCGGGGGCGAGTCAGTGGAGTAACAAGAAGTGGGTAATTCTCAGGCTGCAGAACCGGGAAATGAAAGGAGGGTGTGCGTCATTTCTCCTGTGGACTTTTCCTTTTTCCTTTTTTCTTTTTCGAGTCCTGACAATGTTGCCGCCCCCCCCCCCCCCCCAGCACGTCCACACTGGGCAGGGCAGGAGCACGTGAGGCCCGAGCTTCCCGGCCTGCTGGCAGCCACTTGCAACGTCTAATCTCGGGGAGCTGAGGGGGCTGGGCCTGCCGCGGAGCGTGTGGGCAGCTCGGCCTCGGCCCCCCGTGGGCCCCCGAGCACTGCGTGTGGCCCCCGAGCAAAAATGCTTTATCTTAAGGGCAGAGTCCTGCAGCTGTGGTTATACAGGACACGGCCCAGCGTTCCAGCCGCTGGGCTTCTCAGGGGGCTGGGGGGCCGGTTAGAGGCCCCTGGTGTTGCTCCGGCCACCTCTATGTGGTGCTGAGGACAGACCAGGGCTGGCTGTTCACCGCCAGCCAGCACTGTCTCTCTGGGCCCTGGGTTTCTTGGTTTGTTTTGTTTTTTTTTTTTTTTTTTTGGTTTTGGTTTTTGCTTTTGGGACCACACCGAATGATGCTCAGGGGTTCCTCCTGGCTCTGCACTCAGGAATTATTCCTGGTGGTGCTCGGGGGCCCCTATGGGATGCCGGGGATCGAACCCGGTCGGCCGCGTGCAAGGTAGATGCCCTCCCTGCTGGACCATCACGACAGCCCTCTGGGTTTCTCTGTTGGAATCAAGAATCCAAAAAATACATATACTGGGTTGGGGTGGAGGTGGTTGGGGTCACACCAGGCCCTGCTCAGGGCTGACTCCTGGTGGGGTTCAGGGGTCCCCAGGCGGTGCTGGGGATGGATCCCGGGTCTGCCGCATGCGGGGCTTGACCCGCTGAACCATCGCTCTGGCACAAGCAGCAGAATTCCCTTTCTTCCTTTTGGTTTTTGGGTCATGGCCAGGCGATGCACACAGGGGTCCCTCCCAGTGAGGCTGGAGAGCCCCCCCACCCCCGGTCGGCTGTGTGTGTGGCCAATGCCCTCCCGTGGCCCGGGGCCGGCACTCACAGTCGAGGACGATCTGGGCAGCGCGGTAGAGCTCAAGGCGGTGCAGCAGGTCCAGCAGGTCCTGCACAGTGGCCTGCCGCGTCCCCCACCACCACAGCAGCTCGCGCGTGACGCTCACGCCCTGCACCCGCTCCAGGGACTTGATCCTCCGCAGCTGCGTCAGGTCGGTGATGACGTAAGAGGCTGGGGAGAGAGGGGCGCCTGGTCAGAAGGGCCCTGCACCTCCCGCACCCCGGCTCCTCCCCGCACCCTGCCAGGACCGACCCCCTCCCATGGGCACAGGAATGCTGACGGGAGCCTGGACCCCCACCACGGGGCCCTCAAGCCCCATAAGCATCAGTTTCCTCGGCCGTGGCAGGGCGCTGTCAGCTTACCTGTTCTAAGGCCCAGGGGCGCCCCTTAAACTAAGTCTCCTGGCCCAGACTTCTCGAGGTCCCCCCTCTCCAGAGACGCATCTGAAACCCATCCCCAAAAGCGTCTCCGGGATGGGACCCAGCTCCCTGGAAGGAGAGGCCCCGCCTGACTCCGGGCCCCTTCCCCCCCCCGCTACCCCCCCCTTGTCCCCTCCTGCCTCTCTGCTCTTTCTCTCTGCCGGGTGGGATGCTGTGGACTCCCCCGATCCTGGGGGTTTGCTTCGGGGCTGCAGCCGGTGGTGCTCAGAGCTACTCCAAGCTCTGTCCTTGGGGGTCCCTCCCGGAGATGCCTGAGGGACCATGTGGTACCAGGGACAGAGCCCAGTACTGGGGGACCTCTCCAGAACCGGGGTGGGGCTCTCTGCACAGAGCCAATGTGGGTGTCCCCGCTGTGCCGGGGTTGGGGGCAGTACCAAGAGGGGTTCCAGTGGGGGTCTCGGAGGCCGGGAAGGCAGGCTCTTCTGGGCCTGAGCAATCTCTCCCTCTCCCTCGGGCAGAAGCCAACCGGATCTTACTCCAGAGCTTCCCCTCGGACCCAGGCAGGGAGAGGAGCCTTCCAGGTGAATCCGAGTCGAAAACCTTCCCCCAGCTCTGAAGAGGTGAGCCGGGGCCAGACGCACCACACCAGATTAGAGTGCTCGCATGCACACAGCTGGCCCCGGTTTCAGCCACATGTGTGCCCCCAGCACGGCCAGGGGTGGTCCCTGAGCGCAGAGTCGGGAAGCAGGAAGCCTCAGCACAACCGGGTGTGACCCGGCTTCCTTCCCCACTCACCGATGCCCAGAGTAGAAGGACGGAGCGACAGGACAGCAGGGAGGGCACTGGCCTTCCTCGCAGCCGACCCAGGCTCAATCCCCTGCTCCCCATGCGGTCCCCTGAGACCCACCAGGGGTGACCCCTGAGCTCAGAGCCAGGAGTGACCCCTGAGCACTTCAGGGTGTGTGCCAGCCCACTCTCTAGCCACACACACACACACACACACACACACACACACGGAAGTTGGGAATATGGAATAGCTAATGTCAATCCTTGGCTATCCCAGTTCCTTGAGGAATTAAAATAGGAATCACGTAGGAATTAGTCCTACATAAACGACGTCAAAACTGTGGTTCTAAAAACAGCGGGAAGTGCACTGGAGTGGCCCCGAGCGGCCCCACTCATGTCCACCTCTGCCGTCCTGGGCTTAGGAAGGAACAGAGTCCCTCCGTGGCCAGGCTGGGTTCCTTCCCTCCAACTTGCCAGCAAGGCAGAGAGCAGGAAAGGCAGGTGAGAGAACGGGGCCTTGGGGCTTCTTCCTGATGGCTGCAAGTTCACTGCCGCCGGGCAAGGACGGCGACTGACCCCCAGATGCAGCCTGCGCCCGCTCCTGTGCCACAAGCCAGGCCGGCACCGTCTCCTCCAGCTACGGCTACAGATACATCTAGTTTTACTTTGGAGTTTTATTTCTGGCTACAGATTTTTTTGGGGGGGTCAAACCCAGCAATGCACAGGGGTTACTCCAGGCTCTGCACTCAGGAATTACTCCTGATGGCACTTGGGGGACCCTATGGGATGCTGGGAATCGAACCCGCGTTGGCCGCGTACAAGGCAAATCCCCTCCCCGCTGTGCTATCGCTTCAGTCCCTTTCCTATTTTGTCAAAGGAGTTAAAATGTTTTAATTTAAAAAAGAAAATAAGGCCGGAGAGATAGCACAGCAGGTTGGGCGCTTGCCACATTCAATCCCTGGCATCCCATAGGGTCCCCTGAGCACCGCCAGGAGTCATTCCTGAGGGCAGGGCCAGGAGTAACCCCAGAGCATCGCGAGGTATGACCCAGAACAAACAAAATAACCAAAAAATAACCCCAGCACTGCCACAGCAGGAGGTCCCTGGAGCACTGTGATGGAGTCATGAGAAGAGCACTGTGGAGAGAGCCACGGTGAGCACTGCGGCTCGAGCACGCACGCGCAGCCCCACAAGAGAAGTGCCAGGGTCAGGCCTGCCGACGTCACTGCAGAGCTGGGCGCCACCAGTCACCTCAGCAAAGGGAGGGAGAGTGCCGGAGGAGAGGGAGGGGCTGGGAGCAAGCCGCAGACACAAACGCCCCAGAGGCCAAACGACAGCAGAGGGGCGGGCACTGACCTTGCACGCGGTTGACCCAGGTCCGATCCCGGCATCCCAAATGGTCCCTATGCCCACCAGAGTGAGCCCTGAGCACTGCTGGGGGTGGCCCAAATGTTCTTCAGATTCATGTGACCTGGGATAATCCTGTATGTGCCTGTGCATGTGTTTTCGTCAGTGTAAAATCTTATCACGCCGAAGGTTGTACGTTCACGGGCTCACTGGACGGCACTGTCTCACCGCCTGCGTTCGGTGCTCTTGAGCCGCTGTGTGTGGCCTGGATCGGAACGGCTGTTGGCCAAGGGCAGATGGAAGAAGAAACGAGGGCCAGGCCGGTCTCTATCAATAGTAGTTTGTTCCAATCCTCTTCACTCCTGTCTTTCTCTGCCTCCTTCTCTCCTGGGCCCCAGTCTTGGAAGCTCTCTCCTTCTGGCTCTGACTCTGGATCTCTGGAGCCCGAGCTCTCTCACTTCTGACCCCCTTTCCGAGCTTACGTCTTAGTTTATATAGCAGTCACATAAGGCGGTGAGATAAAGGTGGGTTGAATACTGACGAATCAACAAAGAGAGGTAAGACCACTCCTCCAGGAGATTAACTCAAGGATAAAATCTCATCTACAGAGATTACTTCAGATTACTAGGAGATCCACCCAAGGGTGGGATCCCGACAAGGGTGTGTTCTTCCCTCAGTTAGTAATCTACTTAAATAGTTGTAATAAATCTACTTCTAATATTTCTAGCAATGTCATTCTGTATGAGCACAGTAAGAGATATAAATTTAGTTTGGTTCTTCCCGAGAACATCTCACTATACATTCCGCAGTCCTCAGGCCAGGTTAATCTTCCTAGCTCCAGCAGGGTCCTAGTCTCGTTGTTACTTACTTTTGGATCATGACAGCATTTGTCCAAGATCATGCCCTCAACTTATAGTTGAGTATCGTGGCTCTTTGGCCTGGCCCATTTCGATGCCAGGGTAGCTCACTGCTTGCCCTGAGTCCATTCAGTCCCTCGTCGGGACCCTGCTTTTGGGGTGCTAGGAACTAAGGGCAACTGAGTCAAGAAATCAGATGCCCAGGAGTAAATATTATTCGGAGTCAATCAACTCCCAAGTCACAAAGCATAATATTAACTGTCTTCCTGTGTCCACACAGACAGGACATTGCTTACAATACAAGTTCAGTGTCCTTAGATGGGTGTGACCTGACAAACCTAAGCTACCTGAGGAAGGACAAAAAAGAGTGTTATCCTACAGTCTGTGTGCCTATGAGTTTGTGTGTGTGTTTGCCTGTGTCTATGTATGTACTGGCATGTATGTATTTCTCTGTGTGTGTGTCTGTGTGTCTGTGTGTGTATCTGTGTGTCTGTTTGCCTGTGTCCGTGTCTGTATTGGCGTGTGTGCCTATGTGTTTGTGTGCCTTGTGTGTGTTTATCTGTGTGTATTGGCGCGTGTTTATGTTTACTGGTGTCTGTGTGTGTGTGTGTCTGTGTCTGTGTGTATTTGTCTGTGTCTGTGTGTCAAGGGGCAGGGTGGTGAGAGCGGACTGGCAGGAAAACCCGTAACCCATGACTGAGACCTCCAAGTCTGCTTGGATGGGGACTGGGCTTCCACGCCCCAGGACCCCAGTTCTCCAGCAGCTTGGTGGTCATACCCACAAACTGCCCCCAGCGCCAAGTAATCTCATCATCTGCCAAGACCCAGAGACTTTAAACTAAAGCTCCAGGGGCTGGAGCACAGTGGGGAGGGCATTTGCCTTGCATGCGGCCGACCCGGGTTCGATGCCCAGCATCCCATAGGGTCCCCTGAGCACCACCAGGTAACTCCTGAGTGTAGAGCCAGCCGGGTGTGACTCAAAAAGAAAACAAATAAATTAATTAATCACTTAAAGCTCCAGGAAGAGAACGACCCAGCACTTCCTGGACATTACTCTCTATCCATAACTAGCAATACAAAACAAATCGTCTAGCATTGCCTTTTTGGCAGGTTTGAGTGGTGGTGGGACTAGTGTCAAAATACTGAATGTAAACAAAGTAGAGAGAGAGCATGGGGGGAAACTGCCACACAGGCAGGGGAGGGGTTGGACGGGGGTGGGGGGGAGGGGGGAGGGGGGATACTGGGGATTTTGGTGGTGGAAAATGTGCACTGGTGAAGGGGTGGGTGTTGGATGATTGCATGACCAAAGCTCAAACATGAAAACTTTGTAACTGTATCTCACGAAGGGCAAAATAGGGGGGGCAGGGTGCCCCCCCTTAGTATTGCATAATCCCCGCCCCAGAATGGAATGGAAAGTTCTGGGTTGTGACTTTAGTCACTGGAAACCCCAGGCCAGATTCCTGGTCAGTGGGAAGTGATGTCAGGGCCAGCGCTCAGCCAGGAGCCGGCAGAGGGAGAGGGATGGGCGCCCCTCCCCCACCCCTTCCTGTGCCCCTCAGAGCAGCCGGGGCAGAGCCAGCACAGCCTGGGGACAGAGGGGACAGCTGGGCGGGCGTCGCAGGCCAGGACAGCCCATGCCCAGTGCCCGGTGGTGCCAAGATCTGGAGCACACACAGGCCGGCAGGTGCTTGGCTTCCATCCTCCAGGAATTTCTCTCACTGGGTTTTGGTTCTTATTTCTTGGGGAATTTTTTGGGGGGTCACCCCGGCGGTGCTCAGGGCTCACTCCTGCCCCTGTGCTCAGAGGTCACTCCGGGTGGGCTCAGGGGACCATAGGGGGTAGGTACCCGGGAACGACCTGGGCCAACCCACTGTGCTATGGCTCCAGCCGGGGTTTCTACTGGCCCCTCAGAACAGGGCAGGGGGCGTCAGGGCTGCTGGGTTCCCGCCAGTCCAGTCCCATCCCTGCCACTTTCGCTGGGGGCAGCCGCTGCTGCACCCTGTGCCTCAGTTTCCTCATCACCTCCTGGGCTTAGCAGAGCCCATGTGACAGGGAATCTGCCGTACCCCGGTCCTCCCCCAGGCGACCATCCCGCTTCCGAGGGCAGCCCGGGGCCAGCCGCCGTAAGAGCAGGGGACCCCCCTCCAGGCCCGGAAGATCCTGGCAGGCTGTGCCCACATCACAGGGGAAGGGGGGCCCAGCAGGGCTGTGCACGAAGCGGTGAGGGCTGGCCCCCAGGAATCCTGTCAGGGGCCGTGGACACCCCCTCCCTCCAGGAGAGAAAGGAGGGTCACCTTCTCTCGGAGGAACAAACACCGGCATGTCCTACAGCCTCGTTTTTCGGGGTCTCCCTAAGGGGCACCCCCACATAAGATCCATGCGGCCCCAAGGGACCGCCTTTCTGGAATGACGGAATGATCTCTGGAATGATCTCTGCAGGGCTGGGGGAGGCTCTGGGCCCAGCATGGGGTGAGGGGACAGACAATCGGGAGGTCACCTCATATCCCTGACAGGGCAGCGGGACATGACACAGGGTCATGTGCCAGAGCAAGGGGCAGGAGCAGCTCCAACAGGCGTGTGAGTCAGAGGTCTGTGCCCCCATGCTGTCAGCATCCCGTGCCCCTGCCCCGAGTGTGGGCACGGGGGCACCCGCCAGCCACGGGAACCAGAAGCAGGGACCACAGGGAGAGCTCCCCTGGAACAGAGGGCCAGCGGGGTTCTTGAGAGCGCAGCCAGGGGCCTGAGGGCCAGGATGCGAGGCAGCCGGGGGCAGAGCGGGGGTGAGGGGCGCGTCTGGAGGCGCTCCAGGCGGGGGGCGAGGAGGCGGTGGGCAGAGACCAGGTTCAGTTCCCGGCCGACTCGACCCGGCGTCAGCCCTGAGCAGCGCTGGGTGTGGCCTTCAAAACCAAACATATGGAAACTCGTACCCAGAAAGCGGGAGAAGGCCTGGTCTTCGGGTGCAGGGGCCTCCAGAAAGCCCCGGAAGGACACGAAGCCCTGGGTCTGCAGAGGGCACAGCCTGACACCCCTGGATTTAGGGCCGTCAACCGCTAGAGTCGTGAGAGGTTCAGTGTGAGGTGTGCTGGCCACTACACCCGGTCACTTCTTACAGACTAGGCAATGGGCACGCTAGGGGCCGACATCATGGACTGACCATGGCCAGTGCAAAGACCCAGGGGCAGGACCAGGAGCCCTGGGAGGTTGGAGCAGGGACAGAGGAGGAGCGGGAGGGAGGGGCAGGAGGCCTGACCCACCAAGGGGCCCTCTGGGAGCTCGGAGACATCCTGGGGTCAACAGAACGTTCCTGGCAGAGGACGGGCCAGGTGGTCAACAGGTACAGACTCGAGCACTGGGCATCATCGGGCATTGGGCGCGGGCAAGATTCCACTCTGGCCCTGCGGGGATGGGCCAATGTGGCTCCATGGGAGAGCAGCGTCAGGACTTGATCCCGGCACCACGGACACCAGCAGACCCACTCCCAGGGCTGCGGGAACACAGGGCCCGGGCACTGCTTTCAGGCAATCCCAGCACCCGGGGGCTCCGAGCAGGGAACCAGAAGCAGGCCCGCGGCCCAGTGGGTGTGCCGGCTCCAAAAACATCTAGAACCCGAGTCAGAACCACAGTCAGGAGCGCTGAGGACAAGGCGGGCACGAGGGGGCAGCGGGTGCGAGGCACGGGGCTGGAGCAAGGGCAGCTCTGAGCCTCCAGGTGACGCACGTCACACTGCCGAGAGGAACAAAAACCGTCTCCCCGGCTTGGACACAAACCCACAATCTGGAGTTGTCACAGCGTGAAGAACCTACACGCCCACCCACGCACTGCAACCTCACAGAAGCGTGTGGGCCCACCCATGCACACGTGACCCTCAAGGTGCGTGCAGTCCCACCCACGGACACAGCAATCCGCAGCAGCATGGGATTCCGCTAACATGTACATGGACATGCATCGCAGGATGCAATTCCACTGACATGTACACAGATAGGCACCTCGGGAGGTGATTCTGCTAACATGTACACGAATACACACTGAGGCACGTGACCCCACTAAGAGATAACATACGCATAGTGGCAAGTGATTCCATGGACAGACATACATGTACCACGTGCACAGTGGGGTGTGACTCGATCTTGAAAAGCAGCAGAGTGACATCCAGGAGAGCACAGTGCGGGCGAATCTCTGACCCGAGATTTCCAAAACCAGGACTGCCTCACACTGGAGCGGGGGGTTGTGCAGTGGGTGACAGTGAAGGGGTCGGGCTTCTTTGGGGTCCACATTCCAGCACTGATGGTAGTAGACACGGACAGACATCTCTGCACACTTTACTTTGGCAGGGTCGGGAGTCAAATCCAGGGGTCATACAAGCAAAACAGTGCTCATTTGCAGAGGTACAGCCCCTGGCCCCAGGATGTACTCTCTCTCTCTCTCTCTCTCTCTCTCTCTTTCTTTTTTTTTTTTTTTTTTGGCTTTTTAGGTCACACCCAGCGATGCTCAGGAGTTACTCCTGGCTCTGCACTCAGGAATCACTCCTGGCGTTGCTCAGGGGACCATATGGGATGCCAGAGATCGAACCCAGGTCAGCTACGTGCAAGGCAAACACTATCCTCACTGTCCTATCTCTCCGGCCCCAAACTGTACTCTCTGAAGGAGTGAATCACGCAGCTCGAAAGACAGTACAGAAAATAAGGTGCTTGCCTTGCACGGGGCTGACCTGGGTTCAATCCTCTATATCCTATGGTCCCCCGAGCCCCACCAGGAGTGATCCCTAAGTGCAGAGCCAGGAGGAACCCCTGAGCATAGCTGGGTGTTTCCCCGCTCCCCGCAAAAAAAAAAAAAAGTCTATCTAGAACACATTCCAGCCCACTAACAGATCGTTGATGCTCTAGGCAAAGGAACCTGGTGTGGTCCGGAAAACCAGGTGGTGGCATTCTCAGAGAGGCCCGGTCTCAGTGACAGTGGGGAAGGTGCGACAATGCCATCGCACCGCATCACCTAGCGCTGGGCCTGCCTTCTCCCACCAAACACAGTCACCAGAATACTGCTTGGCAGGAGAAACAACATGCTAGATTTTGCATGAAGGACAACTAGGCTGTACAAAAAGACAGGATGCTCAAAAAAGAAATTCACACGCCGTTTCCCCCACGGTTTAGGGGGAAGGCCCAGCAAGCACCCGCGGGCACCAACAGGAGGGCATGGAAGGTGGCAGCTGGCTCACTGGGCGGATCCGCTCACGTCCAACTGGCTCGTCCTGTCTCCCACCGCACCCCGCAATGCGCGTTCCCGGGAAGTCTCCAGGCCTAGACCCAGGCTTGGACGACGCTGAGGGGAGTGGCACCCCGTGTGCGGTCGGCTGTTCCTGGATATTCCCGGCCCCTCACCAGAGCAGCGCCCCACTGTGACTGTCAAAACTTTCCAGACATTGGAGAATGATCCTAGGGACCAAAAATCACCCCTTGGGGAGAAGGGGGAACCTCGAGGTTCGAACACCTATTATTCCATCAAACCGAATAGCTCACACACACACACACACACACACACACACACACACACACACATTCTTCACTCCCAGCCCTACAACTATACACACGTACTATATGCTCCTGTATAAATGGCAAATTTATAATCTAAAATTTTGGGGGGCTGGGCCACACCCCATGATGCTGAGGGGCTACTCCTGGCTCCGCACTCAAGAATCATTCCTGGTGGTGCTTGGGGGATCATATGGGGTTCTGGGGATCGAACCCCAGTCAGCCCAGTGCAAGGCAAACGCCCTCCCCACTGTCTGATCGCTCCAGCCCCCATAATCTAAATTCTTAACACGGACCACACGGAGCTGAGCCACGAAATCGCCCGCACCCACTGCCGGCGCCCCCCCATCAGGTCCCAGACGCTGGCCCAAGGCTCAGGTGCTCCCACACTGGAGCACTGCTTGTCCCCGCAGCTGTGGATGGAGTCTAGGAGACGAGTAGGGCGCTGGACCTGGCCGGGGTCTCCGAGCCCCACCCGGGAATTCCCAGCGGACGCGGGGGGCGCACGCGGGGCTCATCCCCACCCCAGCAGGGCGAGCTCCGGGGCCGGGCACTGGGCTCAGCGCGGTGGGCAGGGGCCCGGCGGGTCATCCGCGTCGCGGTCTACACCTGGGGGCGGCGGGCACAGCAAGCACCCGGGACCTGCTGACCATTAGTACTGTTTCCCCTTAAAGCCGGCCAGATCAGTGGACACCTGGCCGCGGGGACTCGGGGGAAGGGGGTGTGACCCCGGGGACAGGGCCGCCTGGGTCGCGACCCGCGCCGCGGACGCCGGGGTCCCACGGCCACTCACCGAACTGCATCCAGTCCCACTCGCTGAGCGTGTCCATGTTGCGACACAGGTCGTCCAGGACCCACGCGGGCAGCTGGTAGATGTAGCAGGACATGGCGAGAGCTGCCACCAAGTGAGCCCGGAGCCACCGGCGCCGCTGCCCCACCCGCAGCCCGGGAGTGGGCGTGGCCACGGGAACTCCCCGCCCATATTGGGCGTGGCCGTGGACCGGGCCGTCCCTCGTCGGAGATGGGCGTGGCAATCTCCAGGACCGCCCCGGCGGCCGGGAGTGGGCGGGGCCACACGGCAGACCCGCCCAGAAGCGGGTGGGGCCATACTTACTGTCGATCCGCCCAGGCAGTGGGCGGGGCCAGCGTCCGGGTCGTCTCTCGGTGGGGGGAGTAGGCGTGGCTACGCGGCAGAACCGTCCGGGAGTGGGCGTGGCTCTGTCCGGTTCGCGGAAGTGGGAGGGACCGCAAGCGCGGTGCGCGGTTGCCCCCTAGCGGTTGCTTGGGGCGCGACGCCGCGGGAGCGGGGCTGCGAGGGGAAACTGAGGCCCCAGGTGCAGTAGACGGGTCCGGGACCACCAAAGCCTCCAGAAGCCCTTGCGTTCCACGGGACGTACTCGCTGGGGACAGTGTAGCAGTAAATGATAAAAATATTGAATAGTCGTTGCATCGCGATTGCTGTTGCCGACAGAGCCCCGGGAAGCAGGGGAGTCAGTCGGAGAGGCTTTTCCTGGGGGGCGGGCATTTGGGGCCCCCAGCGGCACTCGGGAGCTGCTCTGTGCTCGGGCCCACTCCTTGTGCGGAGCGCCTTCACCCTGGTGCTCTCTCCCCGGGAGAGGGCCTTGGTCATCACAGCGGCCGGCGGCAGGAGCACTGTGGGCCAGCACCGAGCCCGCGCGGGTCCCTCGGAGGGCAGCGCTGACCCTGGCCTGACCACGGAGGGCGGTGCTGGGGAGGAAGGAGGCGGGTGTGGGGCCGAGCAGTCCGAGCAGCAGAGGACGTTGGCGAACAGTGACAAATAGGGCGTTTACTGAGTGGATCTGCTTCGCTTGTTCCTCTCACCGGCCCATGTGGCGGTGTGGTCATCACTCCCAGTCTAGGGATGAGAGCACTGAGGTGGACTGGAGTGATAGGACAGCAGGGAGGGCGTCTGCCTTGCATGCAGCCCACCTGGGTTAGAGCCCTGGCATCCCATATGCTCCCCCAGGCACTCCCAGGAGTAATTCCTGTGTGCAGAGCCAGGAGTAACCCCTGAGTATCACCCAGTGTGACACAAAAAGAAAAAATTAAAAAAGGAAGGAAGGAAGGAAGATTTAAAAAAGGAAGGAAGAAAGAAAGAGCGAGAAAGGAAGAAAGGAAGAGAAAGAAAGGAAGAAAGAAAGGAAGAAAAAGAGAAAGGAAGAAATGAAGAGAAAGAGGAAAGGAGAAAGGAAAAGAAAGAGAGAGAGAAAGAAAGAAAAAGAAAGAGAGAAAGAAAGAAAAAGAAAGAGAAAGAAAGAAAGAAAGAAAGAAAGAAAGAAAGAAAGAAAGAAAGACGTTCCATGTCACTATCCCCTTCCACGGGCGGCGAGTGGGAACTTCAAGAGACTGCAATGTCGGGGCTGGAGCAATAGCACAGCGGGTAGGGCGTCTGCCTTGCATGCAGCCAACATGACCGACCCAGGTTCGATTCCCAGCATCCCATATGGTCCCCCGAGCACCGCCAGGAGTAATTCCTGAGTGCATGAGCCAGGAGTAACCCCTGAGCATCGCTGGGTGTGACCCAAAAAGCAAAAAAAAAAAAAAAAAAAAAAAAAGAGACTGCAATGTCAAGGTGAGCAGATGAGCAACCAGGGGGCCGTGGAGATCATGCCGGGCTCAGTGGCAGGCGGTGAACGCCAGGAAGGAGAATCGCTCCTGCAGAGGGGCTCAGCCTGGACAGCGTCACTTCTTGTCCTTGATTTCCATGTGTGTAACGGGACTGACCCCCCCCCCCCCAATCAGGCTTAGACTGTGAGTGAGGGAGTGGATTAAACCCACTACATCTACACCAGTGTGTGAGCACCACGGCCAAGAGGGAACCCCTGCATGCAAGGCAGACGCCATGGGGACGACGATGACGAGGAGAAGGCAGGTGACTGGAAAACTGCATCGGGGGACTAGGTCGAAAGGACAGTGGACAGGTCTTGCCCTGCACACAGCCGGCCCGGGTTGATCTCCGGCATCCCACAGGGTCCCCCAAGCCCTGCCAGGGTGATTCCTGAGCACAGAGGCAGAAATAAGCTCTGAGATTGCCGGGTGTGCATCCGTGTGGGAGCCTTCCCAGACCCCCCTGGGGTCCCCACGAGGCCCCGTGTGTCAGTGTGGGAACAGGAAGGCCGCTGAGGGTTGGAGCCGGGAAGTGTGTGCGTCCCCGGGTGCAAGAGAGAGCAAACAGCGCCTCCTCTTCCCCTCTGCAGCCTCCTTCCCGCCTCTCCCTCCTCTTTGTTTTGATGTTTCCTTTTTGAGCTACACCCGGCTATGTTCAGGGGTTCCTCCTGGCTCTGCACTCAGGAATCACTCCTGGCCCTGGTGGGCCTGGGGGACCGTAGGGGATGCTGGGGATCGAACCCAGGTTGGCCATGTACAAAGCAAATGCCCTCCCTGCTGCACTCCAGCCTCAAGTTATGCCATCTTGACTAAATATAATTGGCGTAGAATTTTGCCATCTTCACTGAATGTAATTGGCATAGAGTTATGCCATCTTGCCTGAATATAATTGGTGTAGAATTATGCCATTTTGACTGAATATAATTGGTGTGGAGTTTTGCAATCTTGCCTGAATATAATTGGTGTAGAATTATGCCATCTTGCCTGAATATAATTGGTGTAGAGTTTTGCCATCTTGACTGATTCCAATTTAATGGGGGTTCGCAATCCCCGCCCGTACTACATCGGAATTATCCGGGGCGCTTTTAACAACCTGATGAGCCTGGCCCCGCCTCCGGGGAACCAGACTCAATTGCTCTGGACCGGAGCCAGAGAGCTCTGCAAAGGCACGGGGGTAGTCACAGCACGCAGGCAGAGCTGAGAGGCGGCCTGGCGTCAGGAAGCTGTGGCACCGAGAGAGAACGGTGAAAGGGAATCCATAGGAAGCGCTTTAGAGCCGGAAAGACAGGACAGCGGGTTGGGGGCTTGCCTTGCATGCAAATGGCCTGTCCTCATAGGGTCCCTGAGCACTGGCAGGAGCAGTTCCTGAGTGCAGAGCCAGGAGTGACCCCTGAGCATCGCTGGGTGTAGCCCAATCCCCCCAACACCCAAAATGAAAGATAAGAAAATCTGCTGTGATCTGATTTTGTTTTTTTGTACGACGATGGACCGGGTGGGTGTGGAAAAGTCCGAAGGTCCTGTGTATGATCAGCAAAGAATCATTTCATACATACACACATACACATACTCACACATACACACTAACATACAGTCAAATACACACACTCACATACTCACAGACACAGTCATCACACACACTCACATACATCCAGCCATACACTCACACCCAAACACACATCACACACACACACACACAATCACATATACCAAGTTCCACAGAAACAGTGCAGGGTGCGCGGGAGAGCAGAGTTGGGGCTGAGTGAGTCACGGCCAACGCCTCACAACACACAGCAGAGAAGGGAACAGGTCCAGGCAGGGAACTGGGTGGGTCTCGCAATACCTCGGCGACTGGGTTTTGTTGTTCCCTTATTTGGGGCTCCACCAGGTGGTGCTCAGGGCTTACTCCTCGCAGGCTTGGGGGACTTTCGGGGGTTCCAGGGATGGAAACTGGGTCGGCCACATCCATTGCACAGGTCTTACCCACTGTGCCATCTTCCCGCCCTGCTTTTTGCTTTTTGGGTCACACCCAGCGATGCTCAGGGGTTATTCCTGGCTCTGCACTCAGAAATTACTCCTAGTGGAGTTCATGCACAATTCAATCAGCCAATCAGTGGCTGAATAAATAGCAGTACTCCTACATAAAAAAAATTACTCCTGGCAGTGTTCATGGGCCCATATGGGATGCCAGGGATCGACCTAGCTTGGCCGCGTGCAAGGCAAGTGCCCTACCATCTATGCTATTGCTCTGGCCCTGTCCTGCTTTTGTTTTTTTTACTTTTTGGGTGACACCTAGCGATGCACAGGGGTTACTCCTGGCTCTGCACTCAGGAATCACTCCTGGCAGTGCTTGGGGACCATATGGGATGCTGGGGATCGAACCCAGGTTGGCTGCATGCAAGACAAACGCCCTACCCACTGTGCTATAGCTCCAGTCCCACCTGCCCTGCTTTTTAAATAAATCTATTTCAATGTTTCACACTCTCTGCCCCAGTTAACAGGAAACCGTCTGTCGTGATTCATTGAATACTGACGTTTTCTTAACCTTCCAGGGTCGGGATGGGCCAGCCCTTCCATTCTCCTTCCTACAAGGATGGCGGTCGCGCCTGAGCTCTGGCAGTTCTGAGCAAAGGAGCTAGAGAGGCGTCTGCAGTTTCCATGGGGACGGATGGGGGATCCCCTTCCTTTGAGGAATCCGTGGGGAGCGAGGCTGCTGGTGGAATGTGAGAGAATGTCCTGTTCTGCCCGAAACAGCCCAGCTGCCTCTCCACGGGACTGTGGCCTCTCGCATTCCCCCGCCCCAGGTCCGGCTGCTCCCACCCTGGCACGGTGCAGGGGGCTGGCCGGGCTGCAGGGGAGAGGTCACGGCTCTGCACCTGCTCTCCCTGCTGGCGAGGCAGGAAGGCATGCCCTGGCATTCCCCACCCTTGTGTCTTCTGAGGGAAACGTGCTGAGGATACTTCCTCTTTTTGGTTTTGTTTTTGGGGTCACACCTGCCAGTGCTCAGGGTTACTCCTGGCTCTGCACTTAGGAATTACTCCTGTAATTGGGAGTAATTACATTAGGGCTTGGGGGACCAGAGGGGATGCTGGGGATCAAACCTGTGTGCAAGCCCACTGTAGTTTCTGGCCTGAGGTTGCTTGCTGGGAGGAAAAACCAAAGAGGGCCCAGTCAGGGGGCTAGCTCAAAGAGCTGGTGTGTGTGTCCCATAGGTGCGGCTGGGGTGGCCCCCCCAAGCAGGGCACCACTGACCATGCCCAAAACCAAAATACAACAAAGCAAGAAATAAAACCAAATTTTTGTTTCCCGTACAACTAACTTCTCTTAATAATTTTCTGCAGTGCTGAATATTTTTGGTTTGGTTTTTGGGGTCACACCCAGCAGTGCTCAGGGACCAGTCCTGAGGGGGCTCAGGGGACCATATGTGGTGCTGGGGCTCGAACCCAGGCTGGCTGCATCCAACACAAGCCCCTTATTCCTGTACTATCTCTGCAGCCCTAACCTTCTGTTAAGAGTGATATTCCATTTTTACAGGAGAAAAATCATCACTGTCATCACTGTCATCCCCGTTATTCATCGATTTACTCAAGCGGGCTCCAGTAACATCTCTATTCCTCCCAGTCCTGAGATTTTAGCAACCTCTCCTTACTCATCTTTCCCAACGATTGGAGGCCTTCTCAGGGTCAGGGGAATGAGACCGTTATCGTTAGTTTTTTGGCATATTGAATACACCACGGGAAGCTTACCAGGCTCTGGTTGTGCAGGCGGGATACACTCGGTAGCGTGCCAGGCTCTCCAAGATATATATATACACACTTATATGACTTGTTGTCTAATGTCTGAACCCCATCAAATATGGTGTGGTAATTATGAAAAATGGGTAGAAGTGTCTTATGCTGTCCGGAAAGTGGTCTGGAGCGTGGCGGTGGTTGGGTAGTGGAAGTTGGCTGCTGGGGCCGGAATCCTTGGGACAGGGAGGGCTCTCACCCGCCCCACTGTGGGGCACCCCGAATGAAAGCAGCTTGGTGCGGAGTCCCTGTGTGTGCTCAGAACTGGGCTGGTTCTGCCTCATCTCAGGAGAAAAATAAAAACGGTCACGGTCACGGTCCTCCTGCTGTTCATCGATTTTCTCGAGCGGGCCCAGTAACGTCTCCATCGTGAGACTTGTTACTGTTTGGCATATGGAATATGTCCCGGGTAGCTAGAAACATTTGTTTTTGGGCCACACTAGGCAATGCTCTGGGGTTACTTCTGGCTGGTTCTGTGCTCAGGAATCACTCCTGGTGGGGCCTGGGGGGCCATATGGGATGCCGGGGATCAAACATGGGTATGCCGCATGCAAGGCAAGCACCCTCCCTGCTGTCCTGCCTCTCCAGCCCAGACACAGTATTTTAAGTTCTCTGCTGGAAAGAGAAGGGGCTACCGAGGAAGCTCAGTGTGTGCCTCATGCCATCCCCATCCCAAGGCCACTTGCGGGGATCAGAAAGACCCTGACAGAGGCCTGGTTCCTTCCATTTAATGTACTGTTCTGTTTTTTTCTTTTAAATTCAAACTAGGAATCATCCAAGCCTCTTGGGAAGGTGCTTTTAATACATCCATAGAATTCCCAGTGAAGAACAGTTCTCATGCTACAGGGCATCAGATTTCCTTGGACACACAAAGCCACGGGGTTGCGGAAACTACAAGTTTGAGTAAGCGAACTTCACTTTGTCACCGCCTAAAGCCGCTCCCACCCTCCTGCTCACAGATTCTGCATCTCAGGGCATCAAACATGCGATGACATGCTTCAAAAGCAAGCGAGGACCACGCCTTCTGTTGATCGTGCAGGGGAACCAGATCGGGGGCCATTCAGAGCAGGGGCCACGGTAGGGGGCTGTTCCCCCCCTTTTGGCTCTGACTCACAGCAAGGAATCTGGCCTGAAGGTGAAAAAGGTGAAAAGGTGAAAAGGGCAGGTGGGAAGAGCCAAGAATAGCCCGAGGGGACGGGGGGGGGGGGGTTGCATTAAGCTCTACAGAAAGCTGGTAACACCATGGAAAAATATTTATTATAAACTTTAATGAGAAAGTAGAATACAAAACTATATACAGCATGATCTCCGCTGAGAAAACCAACTGACCAAGAACCGGCCGAAGGAAAGTGGAAAGTTCCAGTGCTTAGTGCTTGCGTCCCAGCAGCGTATCCAGGGCGATCTTTCTCCTTTCCCTCACTATTCGGTCTTTTCCCAACCTTCTCTCCACTGGGGAAATGTTTCTGGGTCACATTCGGCTGAGCTCAGGGATCTCTCCTGACAGTGCTCGGGGGCCATAATGGGTGCTGGGGCTCGAACATCCCACCCATGTACTCCCTCTCTGGCCTCTCTCCTGGGGAGATTTTTTTTTAAACTGTTAGTTACCACAAAAGGGGAGATTAAAAAAAAAATCCTAAAAACAAAACAAAACTATCAGTTACCAAAAAGGAAGTCTGGATTGGGAGATGGTGGCTTCCAACTTCTCATTTTGAGGAGGTGGTGCTTGAGGCGGACTCCCAGCTGTGTGCTCAGGGGTCACTCCTGGCAGTGTTTGGGGATCCTGTAACAGTGCTGGGGATCCAACCAGAGCGTGCAAGACAAGTACCCTACCCACTGCACTCTCTTTCTGGCCCCTAGAGCTCATGGATTTCGATCCAGTAGTCACCAAACAGAAATGTCCTAGATTTGCAAAAAGAAACAGAAGTATTTGCACCTGACAATGACCTCCTGGCCCATGTGCTCTTGGGAGCGAGAAACAGACCCAAGCAAGTCACCTGGAGTCCAGGAAGCCCCGTCCCCATCTGCCAGCAAATACGCAAACCACCACCACAACAAAAAAAGGTGTGGGATGAAAACGGTGGAGAGTGCCTGCTATGAAAACGGTTCCCTTTCAAACACCTGCTTTCTATACATGCATCAAGGTTCCCCTTCTGCATGTATAAAAAGGGGCAAAACCTCCAAAATTCCACCCACGTTTCCACGGCCGGCTCAGCAGACCGGCGCGGTCTGAGGAGGCACTGGGGCGGAGGGGCAGGACGCGGGTCTGCCTCTGCCTCCCAGGGAACACGCAGCCGCTCCAGCCCCGACACGCCAATCACACGCCGAGGCCACTGGCCGGGACACGGAGCGCTCGAGAGTCTCCTGCCCAGAAGTCCTTGAGCAGAAGCCGCCTCCGCAGGGAGCGACACTGGAACTAGGTCCCCGTGATAAACGTGACAAGGACAGGCCTCCAATGCCGCTCTGTTCACTCCACCCCGAGCCTTTCGGCATGGACCCCGGGAGCGGAGGGGGGGCCTGTCCAGGCTCAGGGCCCGTCCTGCGGCTCGTCCTCCCGCTGCTGGCTCTCCAGGTGCTCCTGGGTCAGCCGCTCCAGGTCCCGCCTCACGTTCGGGTGGTCCTCCAGGTCCTCGTAGAGGGAGCGCACGATGTCCAGGCTCCGGTAATGCTCGGGCTTGACCAGGCTCCGGACCACCTGGAGGCAGCGCTCCTTGAGGGTGTACACTGTAGGGGCAGAATTCAGAGATCCTCTTTTAACTGCCTCCTGGCCCCATAAGCTTAACTGGACTGAGTAAAAGACACAGGGCCAGGGGCCGGAGCAATAGCACAGCGGGGAGGGCGTTTGCCTTGCACGCGGCCGATCCAGATTCAATTCCCAGCATCCCATATGCTCCCCCAAGCACCGCCAGGGATAATTCCTGAGTGCAGAGCCAGGAATAACCCCTGAGCATCGCCAGGTGTGACCCAAAAAGAAAAAAAAAAAAAGACACAGGGCCAGGGCAATAGTGCAGTGGGGAGGGCATCCATCTTGCACACGACCGACCCGGGTTCGATGCCCGGCACCCCATATGCTCCCCATGCGCTGCCCAGAGTAATTCCTGAGTGCTGAACCAGGAGTAACCCCTGAGCATCGCCAGGTGTGGCCTCAAAGCGAACAAACAGAAAAAGGACAACCTAGGGCAGGGGCGTGGCCGGGAGGGTGGCATTCTCAGACCCGGCACACCCGTAACCCCAAGCTGATGCCAAGGCTGGAGGCTCCACAGGCAGGAAGCCGATGGCCTCTGTCACCCTAGAGCTGTCAGTGTGGGATAAATATGATCGCTGGGGGTTCCTTCTGGCGGGCGCGGGACACGGGTGCGCACACTTGAGCCGGCAGCAGGCCCCCCCCATGAGGTCAGACAGGGCATGGGTACCTGGCAGCGTGATGTTGGCGAAGATGGGCTGCCCGTCCGCATTGAGAGATGGCATGAACAGCTCCGTCTGGTTCACCAGCAGCCCGTCGTAGGTGCCCGCGTCCCTGAAGAGCCACAGGTGACCTGCAGGCGAGCACAGTGGTTAGGAGTCTGCAAACTTCTGCTTCTCCCTCTGAGACACGGCCCACAGCCCTGGGCACCCATTTGCAAGTCAACCCGTCAATCCTCAGTCCAGAGTGCTGAGAGGCTCAGTCCTCGCCCCAGGGTGCTGAGAGGCTCAGTCCTTGCCCCAGGGTGCTGAGAAGCTCAGTCCTTGCCCGAGAAGCTGCTCGGCCCAGGCCAAAGTGCAAAAGGCACGTTCTCATGCCTCGGACGCTAGGGGACCTGTGCTGGTCCCAGCCACACGGAGAAACCAGCCTCTTTACAGCTGGAAAACCCGACCCCAGAGTGACCACTGCCCTGGGTGAAACGTAGGCAACCTGTCTGCAGATGGACAGGCTGACTGCCCCAAGGCCACTTGCCCCCACACCGACCAGTCCCACTGGCTCCCGACAGGTCCCTGTCTGGCCCTTGCGACCCCAGGACCCCTTCACAACCAGGCTGCTTTGAAGTAAAGCCACCCGGTAACGTCCTTTCTCTCCTCCAAAAGTCAAAGCTGGGAAATAAGCCCGAGTTCTCCATCCCCCATAGGTGAGCACCGCACACAGCCGAGCCCAGGTCCGTCCCCAGCACCTGCGTGTGGGCTGCAGGGAGGCCCGGGGGTGCGAGCTGAGCCCAGCAAGGTGTAGCCCCCGACTCTGGGGGCCCACACTCCCTCCGCAGGGCCGGAGGGGCTTTCCAGGCCCCTGCCTCTCCGGCGTGGCCCTGGAAGCACGTCCCCCTGGGGCCGGCGAGGTCAGCCGGGGCGCCGGCCTTGCGCGGGGCCCACCCGGGTTGGTCCCGGGGCCAAGAGGCGTGAGCCCCTGCGCGGAGCGGAACCGCGAAGTGCCGCCCCCCGCCCCCCGCCGCCCCAGGGCCGGCTGCCCGGGGCGGCGGGGACTCGCCTTCCCGGCGTCCGGTGCCCGGCGGGCAGGGGTCTCCGCGGCCGCAGGGGCCCGCCAAGCTCCGGGGGTGGGGGGTCGCGAAAGCCCCTCCGGGAGCCCGGTCGGGGCCAACGAGCCGGGCCGGCCCCGCCCCCCGTTCCCGCGCCCCCAGCCCGCGCCCCTCCCCCGCACCGCGGAAGCTGTGGATGCGGCGGCCGGTGCCCGGCGGCAGCGTGGGGTAGGGCAGCGGCTCGCCGTCGAAGTTGAGCCAGAGCGGCCGCACGACGCGCGGGCTGCGGTTGCAGAAGATGACCTGGGCCGGCTCGCGCGAGTTGAGCGAGCGCAGCACCCGGCGCGGCCGCGGCCCGGCCTCCATCTCCGCGCGCCGCGGGCCCGCCCGGACCGGGACCCGCCGCCCTGGGGCCTCGGGCTCGCCGCGCCGTGGGGGCGGGGCGCGGCGGCGTGCGCGTGCCCGGCCGCGGCGTGCGCGCTCCCGGGCGCGGGGAGGGACGCGCGCGTTCGCCGCGACGACGGGAGGCTCCGCGCCTGCGCGCTGGCAGCCGCTGGCCGCGGGGGGCGGGGCAGGGGGGCTGTTGCTGGGGCGAGTGCTCCTGAGGTCGGTGCTCCTGGGGGCCAGTGCACCTGGGGGGTGCCAGTGCTCCCGGGGGACCAGTGCTCGGGGGGGGGGGGGTCAGTGCTTCTGGTGACCGGCGCTCCTGGACACTCAGGCCGGCGCAGGGCCCCGCACCCGGCTTCCTCCTGGAAGTTGTGTTCCAGCAGTCGTCTCCGAGAGTGTCATGATCTGGGGGTCGTCATTTTATTATTCAAATCATTTTAGTTTAGGCGCCGTGATTTGGAGTATGGGATGCACGAGGGTTCGGTTGGCCTGGCCCCAGGGACCCCATCCCCTCATTCCAGCCACTGGCGCCGTTGGCCGGAAATGCCCGACCACTACCCCCGGTGGAAATGCGTCACTTGCCAGAGATGACAGTGGAACTAAGTTTCTAGGGTACAGAATCTACCCGGGTGCCGTCCCGGCACCCCATATGGTCCCCCAAGCACTGCCAGGAGTGACTCCCTGGGACAGCTCTGGGTCACAGGCCTCCTCATCTGGCGCTTTGGAACAAGAACAGAGTGGGAGAACATCTACAAAGGGAGTGATACCCCAAACCCAGAGTAGAGTGGGGGCGCTCCTTGACCATGTCCTAGTGGCCTGGGGCAGAGACTCAGTGATGGTGATGTCTGAGGCATTGAGCTTTCCCAGGGATATCCCAGGGCCATGGCTCAGGGCGAACCCAGCTCCCAAGTTTCATGCAAATATGCAGCCATGCAAACAGTCCCCAGAAATGCTCTCAAAATCGAGACTGGTTTTGTCATTTTAAAGCAGCAGTAGAGAGGCCAAAGTGCTAGTACAGCAGGTTAAGGCACTTGCTTCGCATGGGGCAGACCCAGGGTTAAGTCCTCAGCACCCCATATGGTCCCCTAATCCCTGCCAGGTGTGATCTCTGAGCTTAGAGCCTAGAGTAAGTCCTAAGCACGGCTGGATGTGTCCTAACACACACACACACACACACACACACACACACACACACCTCAAAAAAGATTTTTTTAAAAAAAAAATAGTAAAGGGGACTGGAGCTACAGTGGGTAGGATGCTTGCCTTGCATCCGGCCAACCCACGTTCAATTCCCGGCATCCCATATGGTCTCCAAAAACTGCCAGGAGTAACTCCTTAGCATCGCCAGGTGTGACCCCCCCAAAAAAAAGCCAAAAATATAGAGTCTAAATTTTTTTATTTTTATAAAGTTGTTCATCATTTATTACATTCAATATTCAAATACCAATCTCACCACCCACTATTGCACTGTCCCACCACCATTATTTCCAATTTTCCCAACCACCCCCAAGCCTGCCCCTACAGCAGGCCCTCAATAACTTATTTTATATTGTTTGCTAAAAATGATCGAAAAGTATGTCCTTAGCAGAAAGTGTGTGAAAAGTGTTCTATCTCACCAAGGAGCCATTAATCTCCTGCAGAAGAAATTACTAACATGTTGCACAGGGTAGGTCTTGTAGGTTTGTATCTGTTGATTGGGATTGGTTGCCTTCACCTTTATATCCCATCCAATGTGGTGTATTGTGCTACTTGTGGTTTATCAGTGGTGTAGAGTTTGAGGTGTTGCTCCAGGAATTCAAAAATTTTAGATGGGGTGATAGAGCTGGAATTCAATTTTTTAACTGGATGATGACTTTGAATGTCCCGGACAACAGAGCTTAGCATGGGATCCAGAAGCATCTCTGCAACTTGTTGATCTCTTTCCAAGTTTATGTATGAGTCTCTGGATCATGGCCGGCTAATGAGCTTATTTGGAGCCAGAAGCAGTTCATGGGCACTGACTGCTAGGCTTCCGGAAGAACAGGGAGATGGGGGTGGGTAGCCCATCCCTGACTTCATAAGAGCCTGGAGATTTCAGTCACAAAACCCACAAGAGTCTAAATTTCTTTCTCACCTTAAAGTTCCATGATTTCAGTTCTGATTCTGAAAACACAGGGCCGAAGCCACTTTGTGGACATAGAGATTAAGCTCTAATAAGCACGGACCCACCCAGAGAAGGCCAGACCCCTACCCCACCCTACCTTGGGAAGAGAAGCTCCAAGGAGGAGCAGAGGGCCGTGACAAAGACTTGAAGGGGACACACTGAAACCACAAGCTCTTCTGGGCAATGCCATAGCAATGGTCTTTTTCTGCGTAGAAAGTCGCACAAGGGGGCAGTCTGGGAGAAAACATAAACCCAACCCAAGATGAGGGCTCTCAATTCCTCTGGACAAGCCTATTCGCTCCTGAAGGTGTTACTCTCTTTCCTTCTCTGGAATCTCTAAATATAACTGGGTATTTTTTTTTATTTTGTTTTTTTCTTTTGGTGTGGGGGAGGTTTACACCCAGTGATTCTCAGAGGGTTTCTCTTGCTCTGAATTACTCCCGGTGGTGCTTGGGGGACCAGAAGAGGTGTTGGGTGGGGATCGAACTCTGGTTGGCTGTGTGCAAGGCAAGTGCTCACTAGGTAATTTCAAAACCAGCAGAGGTAGATTAGATTAGATTGGTAGATTAGACAATAGGAACATAAAATGGACTTAAAGCTTGTAAGTAGTCTTTTTTTTTTTTTCTGTTTTGGGTCACATTCTTCAGCGATGCTCAGGGCTTACTCCTTGTGCTGCGCTCAGGAATTATTCTGGGTGAGCTTGAGGGACCCGATGGGATGCCAGGGATCCAACTCAGGTCAGCCACATGCACGGCAAGCACCCTCCCCACTGTACTATCTCTCCAGCCCCCTATTTCAGTTTTATTTTAAACCCAAAAGGACCACAGCGACTCCATTTTGGAAAGCCAGACTCCACTCTGTGCCTCAGGGTGATGAGTTTACAGCCTAGGAAGAAAAACATGCCAGACCCCGAGGGCATGGACATAAATGCCCAGACATCTGACCACAGATAACTAGGATGACTCAAGTCAACGTAAGATATGTTAACTGTGGTTTGCTCCGTACCCTCCGCCTGCTTGCTCAAGGCTGAATGTGCCAGGCAGGAGGGCACAGGCTTCAGACCTCTCCCAGAGGTCCAGCAGTGCTCCGAGTCTCAGGCTGGCGAGCCCTCAGCGCTGAGTCTCTTGTCTGAGCGCCCTCGGTGCTGAGTCCCTTCTATGAGTGTGTCTTGGCATGTGAATAAAGCCTTGAAAACTGTGCCATCTCTGTGTCTCAGCTGGTGGCTGAGCTCAGGCTTGTGGCCACTTAACAAACCGAATGCTTCACTGCTCATCTCCTCCTAGAGATCTTTCCCAGGCCACGGATCTAGCAAGGCTGGGTAAGATCTCAGATGAACTTTCCTTTTCCTTTGAAGAGTAATTCCTCACTCCAGCCCCCGTGGCTGCGTGGCAGGGATCATTCCACGCTGGGCACAGTGGAGCCAGGTGTGACCTGATGATGCTCTCATCTGTCCAGGCACTTCCTGAGTGACTGCGCTGGGTGGAGGGAAGGGCCGACGCCCCTCTCCAAGCAGCTGCCTGTCTCCTCACAGAAGGCACCCACCCCGGGACGACGAGGAGCAGGAACTGAGCCAGGACTCAGCCATGGAAACCTGTGCTTCAGCCCATGAAACAGTCTCCTTGACCCCCAAAAAGATCTTTTTTTCTTTTTTTTTGGCTTTTTGGGTCACACCTGGCGATGCACAGGGGTTACCCCTGGCTCTGCACTCAGGAATTACTCCTGGCAGTGCTCAGGGAACCATATGTGATCCTGGGAATCGAACCTGGGTCGGCCGCGTGCAAGGCCAATGTCCTACCCACTGTACTATCTCTCCAGCCCCAAGAGATTACAAAACAAAACAAAAAACCTAACAGCCTGGGCCAGGCAGTAGTACAGCAGGTAAAGCGTTTGCCATGCACGCGGTTGATCCCTTATGGTTTGACCCAGATTCAATCCCTGACATCCCATACGGTTCCCGGAGCCCGCCAGGAGTAATTCCTGAGCATCACCCAAAATGCAAAACAAAAAACAAACAAAAAACCAAACAGACCACCTAACAACCTTAAGTCCATCTTACATTCCTATTGTCTAATCTACATGACAGGCCTTCTGCCTTTAATTAAAAACTGGCTCTCTTTTTTTTCCTTTTGAGAAGTAGGTGATGCCAGGGATTGAAACCAGGAACCAGGGTTCATGCATTCAAGGGATGTGCTTTATTATTTTTTTTCCTTTTTTTAACTGTGACTTTATTCCAAAATGACAAATAAATTACAACCTTAAAGTATAATCTGGCAACCTTCAGACACCAAATTTCATTACAGACAAACTCTATTTAAAAGTGATCACCACAAAAAGCAAAAAAAATATATATATATATATATATTGGGGGCAATGAGCGATAGCATAGCGGGTAGGGCGTTTGTCTTTCACAAGGCTGACCCGGTTTCAATGCCCAGCATCCCATAGGGTCTCCTGAGCACTGCCAGGAGTGATTCCTGAGTGTAGAGCCAGGAGTAACAACCCCTGAGCATCGCCGGGTTGACCCCAAAAGCAAAAAATAAATAATAAATAAAAAATAAAAGTGATCACCAACAAAATAAATAAGAAAAAGATAAAGAAAACTAAAAAAAAAAAAAAGAAAAAAAACCGAAAATTTTTAAAAAAGACAAAAAAAGTGATCACCGAACAGCTCAAACTGCAGGGAAAACGTAGGATGACCAACATCTCATAGACCAACAGATTGCTCTGAATATTTTCTCTCATTAAAACTGAACTTAAAACTTAATTTTCAGGGGCTGGAGCGATAGCACAGCGGGTAGGGCGTTTGCCTTGCATGCGGCCAACCCAGGTTCGATTCCCAGCATCACATATGGTCCCCCGAGCACTGCCGGGAGTAATTCCTGAGTGCTTGAGCCAGGAGTAACCCCTGTGCAAAGCCGGGTGTGACCCAAAAAGCAAACAAACAAACAAACCAAAAAACCCTTCATTTTCAGAAAGATCACTATGGGCCAGAAGCATAGTACAGTAGGTAGAGCGTTTGCCTTCATGCCGACCCAGGTTCAATCCCCAACATCACATATAGCCCCCGGAGCACCACTAGGAGTAATTCCTGAGTGCAGAGCCAGGAGTAACCCCTGAGTATGCCTGGGTGTGACCCAAAAAGGAAAAAAAAAAATAAAAAAGAACAATTCTAACTCCAGCAGACAGCAAACAAAGATTCTGTCCCAGAGAAGTTTTACTTCGGGCTGTCTATCTCATCAGCCACAACTGCCGAACTTGGCCTTCAGTACAAAGACAATGTTTCCTTTCCCTGCAGAGACCTCGGTGCAAACATGCTTCTCCACCCGGCTTCTCACGTGCTCGTCCTGCTCTGAACAGAGATGGTCCAGGTGGTCCCTTCCCTCCCCACCCTCTCTGTCACTCCCCTGCCATCACGCAGGGGATGGTGCTTTTGACCAGAGCTGCTGGGCCCTCTCTGTCTCAATGGCCTCGCCCAGTTCCCTCTTTTCACCTCTTCTAGTTGGTGATTTTTTTTTTTTTTTGCTTTTTGGGTCACACCAGGCGATGCACAGGGGTTACTCCTGGCTCTGTGCTCAGGAATTACCCCTGGTGGTGCTCAGGGGACCCTATGGGATGCTGGGAATCGAACCCGGGTCGGCCGCATGCAAGGCAAACGCCCTACCCGCTGTGCTATTGCTCCAGCCCGATTTTTTTTTTTTTTTTTTTGCTCATTGAGTTTATCTGCAAATTCTCCAACAGAGGCACCTCATTATTTAACCAAATAGACAAGCGACCCTTTTGTTGAACTGGCAGAGCAAGTGTGCGGAGTAATCACAGATTTCTTTGGGTAGGAAATACAAGATAAACCCAAATCTAAGAACACAGGGTCCTGTTACACCAGTTTTAGGATCAAGGAACTGGAAAGATTCCCCAGGGACCCACCCCTCCCACACTTTCCCTCCTCTTCAGGAGAATGGGGCTGCCCCTGGGAGATCTTTGTTGTGGGCTGCACCCCTGCATTCCTCAGGGCAGAACTGACAAGGGACAGCATGGTCAGCAAAGGTCCAGGCAGTGGCCATCTTAATGTCCCAGTGACCCCGACAGGAGGCTGGCAGGGGCAGGAGCAAGATGGACACTCTATTATTTCTTTGTTTTGGGATCACAGCCAGCAGTGCTCAGGGCTCACCTCTGGCTCTAAGCTCAGGGATCACTCCTGGTGAGACCATATGGGGTGCCAGGGATCGAACCCGGATCAGCCATGTGCAAAGCAAACTCCCTCCCTGCTTCACTATCAGTCAGTTCCTGGTCAAGGTTTGTGCCTTAGTGCCGGGCCAGACCCCCAGCCTGGCTGTATTTTCTTGTGTGGGGCTGCACCTTGCAGTGCTCATAGCGTACTCCTGGCTCTACATTCAGGAACTATCTCAGGTGGTGCTGGGGGCATGCTATGGGGTCAGCAACCCAGGTGCAAGGCCAGCACCCCTAATTCACTGTACTATCTTAAAGGTTCCTGCTGTATTTTCACTCAGTACAGTGAGGAAACTTGCTCCACTGAAGTTCCTGGGATAGCCTTTTCAGCTGCACTGTTCAGCACTGTTGGTTGTTGTTTCTTGGGGGGGGGGGGGGGGGGGGGTCACACCTGACACTAGTCAGGTGTTACTCCTGCCTCTGCTCTCAGGAATCACTCCTGGCGGTGCTAGGGGACCATTTGGGATGCTGGGGATCGAAAGGGATCTTGTGCGAGGCAAACACCCTCCCTGCTGTGCTATGGCTCCTGCCCCTTTGTTTTGGTGTTTAATTTGGGCCACACCTGGCTGTGCTCAGCGCTCAAGCCTGGTGGGGACTGGGGAGACCATACACAGTGTAAGGTTTCAAATTCAGGTTGGCCGCATGCAAACAAGTTCTCTCCGGGCCACTGGTCTGCTCTGGATCCTTCCACGCTCACCAATAATCCAGCTGGCTCCTACATAACCTAGGAAACTAAAGCAGAGCATTGCCAATGCTACTCCTCGTCACAGTGCTCTGACAGCTCGGCCCAACCTCAGACAGCAGGAGACTGGGGCCAAGTCCCTGTGTGCAGAATTTTACTGCCTGTTTGCAGACCCGAGGTGGATCCTGCCAGCGCGACTCGACTGGCAGGTTTCAGATGCAGCCAAACCCGTCCACGTCGGCTCTGTCCACTCCGAGACTCGCCGTGCCCTCTCCTTCCCGGTCAGCTCCTACTTGCCTTATTTTTTCTTTGGTGGGGAGAGGTTAGAGTCACACACGCAGCGATGCTCGGGGTTACTCCTGGCTCTGCACTCCGGAGTTATTGTTCCATTTCAGGTTGAAACAACAATTCAGGGGCAGAGAGACACCACGGGGCCAAGGTGCTTGAGGGCACACAGCCAACCGCGGTTTGATCCTTCGCACCAAATATGATCCCCAAGCATAGAACCAAAAATAAGCCCTGAGCACTGCCAGGTATGGCCCTAAGATGGGGGGGGGGGAGAGAGAGAGAGAAAGAGAGAGAGAAGAGGGAAGGAGAGAGGAGGGAGGGAGGGAGAGTGTGCAACATAAAAGGTCAAACGCAGAGAAAACAGAGCACTGAGGACAGATATAACGTCCAGGGGCTGGAGAGATTATGCAGTGAGTAGGGCGCTGGCCTACAGCTGATGAGGGTTCCATCCCCCACAGCCCATTCAATCTCCTGAAAACTGCCAGGAGTGATCCGAGCACAGAACCAGGAGTAAGCTCTGAGCACCGCTGGGGGTGGCCCCCAACAAAAAGCAAAACACTTGGTGGTAGAATTGATGTTCGAATATTAAATGTGATCAAATATTGTGAACTACTTTATAGAAATAAAATTTGAAAAAAAACAATCCCAAAGTTCCATGAAGCGAAACACTTTTTCACTATCCTTACATTTGCGGGCTTTCTCATTACTTATTTTATTTATTTATTTTTTTTTTGCTTTTTGGGTCACACATGGCGATGCACAGGGGTTACTCCTGGCTCTTCACTCAGGACTTATTCCTGGAGGTGCTCGGTGGACCATAGGGGATGCTGGGAATCGAACCCAGGTCAGCCGCATAAAAGGCAAGTGCCCTACCCGCTGTGCTATTGCTCCAGCCCCTTCTCATCATTTCTTGTTAGGTAAATATTTATTTCCTTTTCATCTCTGTTGAATAAATCCTCCTATGCTACAAAACAATAAAAAATAAGAAAGGAAATAAAAGATCCAGAAACCCTTTCTGAAAAATCGCAATGGGAGCCAGACCGGGCACGAGTCTGACCTGAGGGGGGAGTGGTTGTGCACGGCACCTGGTGACAGTCACAGGGAGACTCCACACGGGGACGATCCTTTGCATGGAGACGGCTTCGCTCAGCAGCGGCTCTAGGCCCACAAGGCCCATCACCTGCCCAACGCCCGCCCTCGCACCCAAGCAAGGCTGGGAACGGCCCCAAACAAAACAAATAATGTTTAAGCAAGACATGTGCCCTACCCGCTGTCCTATCTCCCCGGTCCCAGGAAAGAGACATTGAACTTGGCCACGAGGACAAGGAGACGCGCAGACCGCGCCCCTCAGCAGACCACAGGCAGTAGAGCTGGGGAACTCGTGCCTGCAACCGAGTGGCCATCGACGGCAGGAGGAGAGGCCGGTTGATGAACCCCAGGGTCCGTAACCACAAGCTTCCCCCACAAACACAGCGGCCAGGCAGAGTGGAGGAGTTTATTAGGGAGATTCGGGCAGCAAAGACACCCCGCGTGACAGAAAGGAAACCCTGGAAGGGTCCCCTCCAGCCCAGCTGGAGCCCAACCTTGACCTCTGCAAACGGCAGAACAGCTTTCTCTGGAGGCCCGGCCCGGGCATGGGGTCTCAGCCAGGACTGCCGGTCCCCCCGAAGCCGGGGAGCCAAAGGCCATTCAGAGCATCACAGAGACAAGGAACGTGGACGCGGCGGGGAGGCGCGGAGATGGGGAGACGCTGAGGCGGCGCGCGGGGCCGCGCCCGAGTCCCAGGCATTTGGCTCTGCACGTCTCCAACCCAGTGACCACAAGTTCTATAAAACGGGACTGAGGGGGTAAGATGCTTCTCGGCGGTTCCAAGCTTCCCCCTGCCCGCTCCCCGCAGGCACTCCCAGACGGACATGGCAGGGCGCAAAGGCCACACGTTGCAAACAAGAAAACCAAGAATAAGCCCTGCTGCTCTTAAGGAGAGAGAGGGAACAAGGGGCCGCGGGCTGGTCCACGGAGGCTTCCGGAGAGCAGGTCCCAGCGGCGGCCGGCAGGGCTCTAGGTGAGGGTCTCACCTTTTGTCACCTGTCGAAGCAAGGGGCAGCGAGGTCAGTGCCAAGGCGCGAGCAGGGCCGGTGTTTGGGGTCAGGGTCCCGGGAAGCTGGGGTTGGGCCAGGCCACCCCCCGCCCCCACAAGCCTCCCTGCACTCACCCGGGCCTCGATGTACTCGATCCTCCGTTCCAGGGCCGTCAGCTTCTCGTTGAGTGTCGCCAGTCTTGAACGACAAGACATATCTGGAGAAACACAGACGATGTTCAGAACTGATATACACACACACACACACACACACACACACACACACACACACACGTGTGTGTGTGTGCGCGCGCTAAGGACGGGGAGTGCAGGGGCAGAGCGGAGTGACCGAGTGGGACAAAGCGCCAGGGCCTCTGCACACAATTCCAGGAGTGAATCTGCCCGTTTGGAATTCCCGGGAGAGAAAATTGCCCCTGGGAGCCCCGGCCAGGCAGACGGGAGCTGCCACGGCGGGTGAGGACCTAGGCCAGGGCCCGAGCCACAGGACAGTGGGTGGCTCCTGTCCTGCATGAGGCCGCCCCAAGTTCAATCCCCAGCACCCCAGAGGGCCTCCAGGGCCCACCTGAAGTGATCCCTGAGCAGAGAGCCAGGCGTGAGCTCTACTCCCCCACTAAGCCCTGATTACCCACAGGAATCCAATCGAGCCCGGAATCCACAATGCAGCCAGGAAATGAGGAGAACGGGGAGAGCGAGGCCCCCAGAGCCCAGGGGCCCAAGGGTCCCTTGGAAGCGGGGGCCAGCCGGCAGAATGGGGGGCTCCGTACGACCACCACAGAGCCCAATTCTGCCAACAGGCCTCGGAGCAAGGAAGACAGATGGCGCCCTTGCAACTCGGCCAGAACTGGGCTGCGATGCTCACGGACGCAAGTGTCTGAGCCAGCAGCGCAGTTCCAGCCGCACCATCTGCAGTGCCTCATTCTGGCAACGGGAGCTCCAGTCCCCAGACTCCCCCAGGCCGGGCAGACGGCCTGGGAGGGCACATTGGGGGCGGCAGGGAGCTCAGGGGGTCACTCGGGCCAGCTGCGCACAGAGGTCCAACCAGGGTTGGCAGCCGGCAAGGCAAGTGCCTGACCCACTCCACTGTCCCCCTGGTCAATGAAGTAATGTTCAAACTTGAATGGTTGGACTGGAGGCTGGGGCAGAGAGCTAAACAGGAGCCTGCGGTTCTGAGGCTGCGGGTTGGATCTCTGGCACCAGCGGGGAGTGGCCCAACTACTGAGAGCATTAATAAACAATGGTATTGCTATTCTACATGAGAGAGAACCCACCGTAACTAAACCTGATTAACAGACGAGGCCAGAGTGACAGCACAGCAGGCAGGGCAAGGGTCACTCCCTGGCCCCGATACGGCATCCTACGCCCTGCCAGGAGAGACCTGAACACAGCCAGGAGTAACCCTGCCGTGAAACAGGTATGGCGCCCAAACCAAACAAATCGTGGTTAATCTAGAGCATATATTTATTCCTACAGAACAGAGAACACGAGACAAGCACTCAGAGAACGGACAGACCAGGGAAACAGGACATCACTGACAGCGAGTCACTCCGTAAGAAAACCAAACGAGGGGCTGGAGCAATAGCACAGCGGGTAGGGCATTTGCCTTGCACGCGGCCGACCCGGGTTCGATTCCCAGCATCCCATATGGTCCCCCCAAGCATGGCCAGGAGTAAGTCCTGAGTGCATGAACCAGGAGTGACCCCTGTACATCGCTGGGTGTGTCCAAAAAAGAAAAAAAAAATGAAAACCCAGTGAGGGGGGGCGGGGTTGGAGGGAACCTGGGGACACCGGTGGAGGGATGGGTGTGTTGGAACACTGTACGACTGAATCTGATCATGAACAGCTTTGCAAGGGTCTACCTCACAGTGATTCAATAAAAAGGTAAAAACAAACAAACAAAAAACCCCACGGCAGCTCCCCAGTTCTCTGCAGGGGCGAGGTGCTAGGAGGGGTTGGACTCTGCCAACTGGGCGATGACTCAGGAGCCAGAACACCCAGGGAGGCGGCCAGGCTGCGGGGGTGGCAGCTGCCACACAGAAACATAGGGAGAGCGAGGGGAAGCACTCAGAGGGCCGCAGCTGGGCGCCGGGGTTCAGGCCTCAGCCCGCCCTGGCCCCCCACACCAGCCTCCAAGCCGCTGGGTAAGATGCAAAACAAGGAACAATGTCAGAAAAGGATGTCGTGTTGGGGGGGGGGCATAGCACAGTGGCCAAGGCTCCATCCCGCATCCCACAGAGACCCTGAGCCAGCAGCGACTCCTGAGCACAGTGGGTGCGATCCCCAAACGCACCCCAGCAGGGCCACTGGAGATGGGCCCAGAACCAGGGGGGCAGGGGATCTCCCTCATCAGCACACAGGCCACCAGCACACCACACTGCCACCAGTGCCGGCGACCAGCTGGTGCCATCCCCCGCAACCCCCGGTCACTGCAGCACTGCCCAGACCAACAGTCCATCACATCAACTGTGTCCACAGGGCACTCTTAAGTCCTGGACGGGCCTTTCTCCCTAGTGGTACCAAACCCCCCCCCCCACCCATGACTGATTGTTCCTCCGGGCATCTGACACTCTGCAGGGGTCACAGTGCACAGGTTGACAGCCGACAGGTGAGCCTGAAACAGACTCCCCCGCCCCCTTCTCTGCTCCTCGTAGCTCAGAACCATAAAATCGCGGCCCGTTACTCTGCACACCAAAGCTCCCACCTGCCTGGAGATGCGCCGGGCCGGCTGCGGTGCCAGCACCCCCGGCCGTCCACTAACTCTCGGCCGTCCACTAACTCTCGCAGACCAGCGGGAGCGCCGGGAAGGCTCCGGGGACGCACAGCCCCCCGCAAAGCACCTGCCACCGACTCGGGGGCCGGGGAGGGGACCGAGGCCCGCGCCAAGAAATCCCCGACACCACCCGCGAGGCCGCCACCGTGCAGCCCGCCGGGATGCCCACCTCTCCCCCTGGCCCTTCCTGCGGGACGGGGGCCACAGCGCCGGGGTCCACGCTGTGAGTCTGGGCTACGGAGGGGCCTCGGGGCAGCCCCGGGAGGCCCCAAACCTGCCCCCGCCCCAAGTAACTCCGCCCTGGGCAGGCGGCAGGAGCCACGCGTGCGGCCGAACGCCGGCGACCGAGCGCACGGGAGCGAGAACCCGGCGCCAACGCCCCCACTCGCGGGCCTCCCCGGCCCCGCTCGGCCCGACCAGGGGCTGCGGGCCAGGGCCGGCCGGCGGGCTTCCCGCACGCACGCGCCCCGAGCCCGGCAGCAGCGACCCGAACCGGACCGGACCCGGGACCCGGCGGCCCGCGCCGCCCCCGCCCGGGCTTCCGGCCACCCCGCTGCCCCGTCCCGCCGGGCAGCCCCCGGCCGCGGGAGTGGACGCGCGGGGGCGGCGAGACCCGCAGCGGCCCCGCGCCCGGCGCCCCCTCACCGAAGGAGTTGAGGAAGTCCGCGATCTTCTTGATGCTGCTGGTGATGACCTCGATGTACTCGCGGTTCGCCCAGTCCTGGTGGATCTCCCGCTGCACCGGATCCTCCTGCCCCGCCATGGCTGCCGCCGAGAGGCGAGAGTGCGCACGCGCCGCGGCGCCCCGCCCCGCCCCGCCGCGCCCCGCCCCGCCTCCCCGGGGCCAGGGCGGCTGCGCAGCCTGCCGGCCGCCGGCGGCCAATCCGCGGGCTCGTCACGCGCCGGCGCCCCGACGCACCACCGCTCTGCCCCGCCCCGGGCACCACGGCGCCTGCGCAGCCTTTCGGCCGCCGGCAACCAATCCACGGGCTCGCAGTGCGCCTGCGCCCCGACGCACCACCGCTCCGCCCCGCCCCGGGCACCACGGCGCCTGCGCAGCCTTTCGGCCGCCGGCAACCAATCCACGGGTCGCAGTGCGCCTGCGCCCCGACGCACCACCGCTTTGCCCCGCCCCGGGCGCCACGGCGCCTGCGCAGCCTTTCGGCCGCCGGCAACCAATCCACGGGCTCGCAGCGCGCCTGCGCCCTGACGCGCTGCTGCCCGGTCCTCCCGTCTTCGCGTTGCTCCTAGGCCTGTCAGTCTTCGGGACCCCGAAGGAGGGAGTGCTTGGACCCCCGGCCCACGACCTGCAGCCCGCCCCTGCCCCTGCACCTCCGGAACGTCTGTGGGCTCGTGTGCCCGCGCCACCCCTCTCCTGGAGCTGCTCTCCTACAGCTGCCGTCTGCAGTAAAACGGATGTGGCGATGACATGCCTGTAAACCGCAGTCCTTTAAAACGCCTCGTGGACAGTGCCGCGGCTGGGCGCTCGCCTTGCACACGGGCTTGCTCGGGGTGGACCCCCAGCACCGCATAGGGCCCCCTGACACCGCTGGGTGTAAGCCCTGAGCATCACGTGGTGGCCCCCCAGAAGACAACGCAAAGAAATAGTGCCTTGCAATGTCACAACCTGATGCCTCGCCTCGGTTCATCAGTCGAACAGAAAACTTTTGGGTAGGGGGACAGGGCTGGGGGTCATACCCTGACTGCATTCAGGGATCACTCCTTACGGCATGCATGCCTGGGACGGAGCCTACGCTGGGTGCGTGCAAGGCAAACGCCTTACCTGGGGTCCTATCAAGTCTCCAAACGACTTTTTTTTTTTTTACGAAAAGAAAGTGAGGAAAAGGCTAAAGAGATACAGGCTGTTAAGCTGGCATTACCCGTTCAGAATGTAAATTAATAAATTGTGAAACCTTGATTGGAGAGATGGGTCACACCAGCCATGCTCACCCTTACTCCTGGCTCTAGACTCAGGGGTCATTCCTGCTGGAGCTCTGGACTCCTATGGGGTGCCAGGCCTCGAGGGTCACTGAAGGCAAGTGTCCTACCTGCTGTACTAACACTCTAGCACCACAGAATGATTTTTTTTTTTCTATTTGGGTCACACCCGGCGATGCACAGGAGTTACTCCTGGCTCTGCACTCAGGAATTACTCCTGGCGGTGCTCAGGGGACCCTATGGGATGCTGGGAATCGAACCCAGGTCGGCCGCGAGCAAGGCAAACACTACCCAGTGTACTATCGTTCCAGCCCCACAAAATTATTTTTTATTTGATGTTAAAGACATTTTGATTATTGGGCTGAAGCACTTGCTTTGCACACAGGGGTTGCTTGTCTGGTCAGGGCCTCACAATAGCTTCCGGGCACTGCCAGGCATGGTCCCAACCCTGAGCCAGGTATGGACTCAGAACTGCCAGGAGTGACCCCCAGCCCCTGCTCAAGTGAAATAAATGAGGAAACGGCTTACATGGTGTTAACATTTATGTCTGTCCTGGTTGGGTCTGGGAGCCACACCCGGAAGTGCTCAAGGTCTACTCTTGGCTCTGAACTCAGGAGTGACCTCTGGCAGTGCTTAGGGGGCCATATGGGGTGCCAGGATTGAACCTGGGATGGTAGAAACAATTGCAGGCAGGCAAGAGCCTTACCTGCTTGCTATCTCTCCGGCCTTGTTGGTTTATTTTTTTTCCTTTCTGTTTTTGGACCACACCCAGCAGTGTTCAGGCATTATTCTCATCTCAGCTCCTGATGTCACTCCTGGCAGTGCTCAGGGGACCACATGGAGTGCTGGGGACTGAACACAGTCCACCAAGTACAAAGCAAGAGACATGCCCTATCTGTTTCACCTTCACAGAAAAAGTAGGTTCAGCCTTTCTACTTTGGCTCGGCGATCTGTGCTCCTGTTCCTCAGACTCTAAGGAACTCCAGGCTGCAAGATTGTCCCACGGTGAAGAATCTTTCTCCTGATTTCCAGAGCTTTTACCTACATGCCGCTTGGGATGTGGCCTCCGCAGTGCTCCAATGTGGGGTGCAGGTGGCCCTTCTCCATTGAGAAATCATATGAGCCCCAGCGCTGCCAGGAAAGCTGCAGGGATGCTTTTGAGGGAGTGACAGGAGGGCTGCAGGGTGACAGCCTGGAGGAACCAACCTGTCTGTGACTTGAGTTCATTGGACCCTTCAAGGAACTTGGGAGAATGGGTGAATGACTTTGGGCATGGGGCTGGAGTGATAGCACAGCGGGTAGGGCATTTGCCTTGCACGCGGCCGACCCGGGTTCGATTCCCAGCATCCCATACGGTCCCCTGAGCACTGCCAGGAGTGATTCTTGAGTGCAGAGCCAGGAGTAACCCCAGTGCATTGCCGGGTGACCCACAAAGCAAAAACAAAAAAATAGATTCCGGGGATAAGACTCAGCATGGTGCCAAGAAATTCTTGAAGAAATGTTAATGGCATTGTGCAGTTACTGGAAGTCCCTTTGCCATGCCATAGCCAGCCATCAGAGCCCAGCGGTGAAGATAGAGTGTGCACCATGGCGATGCTGGAAGCCGCTGCGGAACGTTCTGTCTGGGCAGAGCAAATGTGGCTGACACAGAATCTCAGAACTGAGCCCCCTGATGCGTTAGGGCATGGGTAGCAGCAGTCGGGGACTCTCATTCTCCGGGATGTGGCCATGGAGCTGGACAACCAGGTTGGTGATGGCAGATGGCAAAATGGCACCGCTGTGAGGCAGGAGTGAGGCCCTTTTGAATTTAGAAATGGCTCTTCCAGCCTTCCCTTTGGCCCAAGACTGCACCCAAGGTCGCTGCCTCATTAGGACAAATGTTTCCCTGAAGATAATGGGAGGACGGGAGGTCTGGTGAAAGAAAAATGCCTGTGCAGGAGTTTCTCTGCTCCGCGTGAGATAAGCGTTGGAATGCGGGAATGTCCCTCTGCAGCTGCTGGACCAGATAATAAGACTGAAACAGAGCTGGATGTGTCCCGCTTTGATTTGCTATACTGTATCCTGTTGAATAGCCCAAAAAGAGCATGTCCCAGAAAAAAAAAAAAAAAACAAGAAAGAAAGATGCTTGCCTTTCACAGGGCTGACCCTGCTTTGATCCTTGGCACTTTAAGGTCCTCGTGCAATGCCCAGTGCCAGATAGAGCCCTGAGGACATGGGAATATCTCCTGACCATCAGTGGGGTGTGGCCCATCCCCTCCCATCATTTGTGTTTTCCAAGACTTTCTCTAGCCTCTAAAAATGACTCCCCTCCAAATGCCCACTGCCACCTGGCCCTGCCTCAGGAACACAGACCATATTGACCAAGTGTGGGGGTGGGGGGAGGCGGGATCTACCCAGGACTCCACGGGGGAAAGGCAGGAGCTCTGCACTGATATCACCGGGCGCCTACTTAGACGGTTCTTTTCTTCTTTAACCACTCCCAGCGAGGCTCAGAGGAGCATATGGGGTGCCGGGGATTGAACCTGGGTTGGCAGTTGGCAGTGTGGAAGGCAAGGAACTTACCCACTGTGCAATATCTCCTGTCCTTAAGTATTCAGTTTTGGTGTTTTGCTTTTTTTCAATTATTGTTTGTATTTTTATTTTGGGGGGTCACACCCGGTGATGCTCAGGGGTTACTCCTGACTCTGCACTCAGGAATCACTCCTGGTGGTGCTCGGGAAACCATATGGAATCGAACCTGGATTGGTCACGTGAAAGGCAAAAGCCCTTGCCTGCTGTCCAAAACACCCTATTGATGATTGACTTTTTTCTTTTTTTTGCTCTTTGGGTCACACCCGCCGATGCACAGGGGTTTCCTGGCTCATGCACTCAGGTATTACTCCTGGCTGGGCTCGGGGGATCATATGGGATGCTGGGAATCGAACCCCGGTCAGTCTCGTGCAAGGCAAACGTCCTCCCTTGTGCTATTGCTCCAACCCCAGATCTCTCTTTTTTTAAATTTTTTTAGCCATGCTCCAGGGACCTCGGGGATCACTCTTGGCGCCATATGCGGGACCATACGCACTGCCGGGTAGGCGCCAAGGCCCCTGCACGGTCTCCCTGCCAGGGTCCGAGCCGGGCCCTGCTCACAGCCGCAGAAGGGGCTTGTCTGTCCAGGTAACCCGCGCGCCTGAGTGGGCGGGGCCGCGCGGCTGCAGGTGGAAGTGGGAGCCGCCCCCCGCCCCCCGCCGAGCTCCGTCCAGTCCTGGGTCATAAAGGCGGTTGCCAGGCGCCCGGCGCGGGGGAAATGCGGGCCCGGCACGCGGGAACCCGCGGCCGCCACTCTGGAGCGTGCGAGCGCGCGTGCAGGTGAGCTGACCGGCCCGGCCCGCTGGACACAGGCCCCCCTGGCCCGACACAGGCCCCCCCTGGCCCGCAGGCCCGCCTGGGCCTCAGCTGCACGCGACGGGCCTCCCGCCGGCTGGGGGGCCGTGCCCTACAGTGCCCAGGAGGCCACATGGGATGCCAACGCCAGTTGGGCCAGGTGCAAGGCAAACGTGCAGACCGCTGCCCTCTGGGGCCCTCCTGATGCTTGAAACGTGAAGGGGCTGGAGAACCGGGTGGTCCCCATGGGGGAGCTCCCGGAGGATAGACTTCCAGTGGGCCCTCCCCCTATCCCAGGCTGCTTCTACTCAGATTCAGGCGGGGCATTGGTAAAGCCTTTTCTCTACCACCCTAGCCCCCGTGTTCTCTTAGGAGTCAGCAGGTCCTGGGCAGCTCTTTCTTTGGCGAGGTGGTCCGAGCCATGGTATCAGATCACTAGTCCGAGGGCGCATTCCGTTCTGAGCAGCCCAGAACACGGCCTGAGCAGCCTCTGGTCTTGAAGGCCCGGCTTGGCCGAAAGGCTGCCAGCAATTAACCGAATAAGATGCTTTATATTTATGATTAAAAAGTAGAATGATGAAACAGTCAAATTCTACCTGAATAGACTCCAATTAGTAACATCCTCCCTTGATCTTTGCGGGGAGTGGCTGCGACCATAGTGTGCTGGCAGGGCGCCTGCTTTGCATGCAGCTGGCCTGGGTAGTGATCCCTGAGCACAGAGCCAGGAGTCAGTCCTGAGCACAGGTGTACCCCCAAAAAACCACCAACAACAAAACAATCGAACCCGGGGCGGCCGCGTGCAAGGCAAACGCCTTACCCCTTTGTGTCCCAGGACATTCTCATTTTTTGAAAGGCATTTAAGGGCCAGGAATGGGACTATCTCCAAAATTAAGAATACTGGAAGATGAGGGTTTTTCCTCGTTTTGGGCCATATCTGGCAGTGCTCAGGGATTACGTGGTGCCATTTGGCAGCGTGCAAGCATCACCCCATCCATGGCACTCTCTCCCAGGCAGGCTCCTGGCTTTATGTGGGGTACCAGGAATGAAATGCAGGGAAGTACTTTTCCACGGAGCTACACCCCCAGTCTCGAGATGAATTGTTTTTTGTTGTGTTTCTGGGCCATGTGCAGTTGTACTCAGTGTTCACTGTGGGATTATCTGCAGTTCAACTATTGAACTCGGGTTGGCTGTGTGCAAGGTAACTGCCTCCCCTGCCGTGCTGTCTCCAGTCGCCCAGGATGAACTTTCTTTTGTCTTTTTTTGGCCACACCCAGCAGTGCTCAGGGCTCAGTGCTCAGCGATCAGGCTTAGGAAACCGTATGAAATCAAACCAGGATCAGCAGCATGCAAGGCGAGCACTTCATAGACTATGAAATCGAGTCTCTTCTGTTGCTTTTGGGTCATACCCAGTGGGACCCACTTTTTGGTTACATCCAGTACTCATGGATCACTCCTGGAGGACTCAGGGGTCCATACAGGGTGCTGAGGATCGAACCCGGGTCAGCTGTGTGCAAGGCAAGTGCTCTGCCCATCTGCTCCAACCTAGATGAAGTTTCTTTTCCCCCTTTTTTTGCGGGGGGCAGCGAGGATGGTTATGGACTACACCGGTGATGCTCAGGGGTTACTCTTGGCTCTGCTCTCAGGAATTACTCCTGGTGGTGCACACAGATGGGATGCTGGGCAAATCTGGGTCGTACACGTGCTAGGCAATTGCCCTACTATTGCTCCAGCCCCACCAGATACAGTTGAGTTTTTTTGGGAGTCACACCTGGTGATGCTCAGGGGTTACTCCTGGCTCTGCACTCAGGAATTACTCCTGGCGGTGCTCAGGGATCATATGGGACACCAGGGATTGAACCCAGATGAACCGCAAGGCAAAGGCCCTCCCTACCTACTGTACTAACAATTCTGGCCCCACAGAGGAAGTTTCTTTTTTTGTTTTGTTTTTGGGGGGTTATACCCGGTGATGCTCAGGGGGGACTCCTGGCTCTGCACTCAGGAATTACTCCTGGTGGTGCTCGGGGGACCATATGGAATGCTGGGGATCAAACCCGGGTTGGCTGTGTGCAAGGCAAATGCCCTACCTGCTGTAGTATTGTTCCAGCCCCTGAAGTTTTTTTTTTTCCCTTTCCTTTTTGGGTCACACCTAGCGATGCACAGGGATTACTCCTGGCTCTGCACTCAAGAATCACTCCTGGCAGTGCTCGGGACCATATGGGATGCTGGGAATCGAACCCGGGTCGGCCGCATGGAAGGCAAAGGCCCTACCCACTGTGCTATCACTCCAGTCCCCCCTGAAGTTTCTTAAAGGACCAACATAACCTCTCACACACCGAGGTGTATCAGAACCCCTTGGCAACTCTTGCTAGTCGTTTTGTTTGGGGAACCACATCTGTGGATGCTTGGGGTTGCTCCCAGCCATGCTGAGGACCATGCAGTGGCAGGGATGGAACCGAGGGCTTCCACATGCAAAGCCTGGCCCTCAGGCCCCGTCATCCCCCCGCAAGCTTGTTCAAACTCAGACAGGGAAGTTGTAAGTGCACAGTTATATCCCTGGGAAGCGGGGGGCCCAGGAATTAGTCTCTCTGCCGTGTTCCCAGATGGAGCTGGAACTCCCATCGGGACGAACTGAGCAGCACTGGTGTGAAAGCGCAAAGGTCGGAGTTAACTTTTCACCAAAATGTGGCCTTTTGAGGGTGTCATGATGTGCCAGCAGCCTCAGCACCTCAGAGCCACACAGCAGTCTTAATGATGCACTGGGTGGCTCCATTTTGGACAAATCCATTTGTTAAAAAAACAACAACAACTTACCTTCAGGGGATCAGAGAGGCAGACCAGCGGGTGGGGTGCCTGCCCAACAAAGACCCAGGTTTGATCCCTGGCACTGCATATGGCTTCCTGAGCACCACCCGGAATGCCCCTTGAGCACAGTGCTAAGAGTAAGCCCAGAACATATATGTGGCCCAGAAACAAAAAATTGAACTGCATGAGGTCAGATGCAGCACTACAGTGGAGAGGGCGCATGCCTTGCACAAGGCCAACCTGGGTTCAATCGCTGGCACCCCCTCTGATCCCTACCAGGAGTGATCCCTGAGCACTGCTAGGTGTGGCCCCAAAATAAAACCCCCAAAGCCCAGCTTGGTCTCAGAGGCTGGCAATGAGGCTTAACAGGGTTTCAGGACCCCCCAGGAGTGGCCAGCTTCGATTCCTGTCACCCGACAGTGACTCCTCCTCTGAGTGGGTCCCAGGACGCAAGTAAGCTCAAGCATTAGCGGCAAGGAGATGCGACCCAACAGCCACGCCCGACCCTGCAGCGTGAGCCCAGGGCTCCACCTTCTCATCCCTCTCCTCTAGGGCAGCCCATGGCGGGATACCAGCTCTGGTCGCCGTGGACCCCTCTGGACGAGAGCTTCCAATGGCTGCGGCACACAACACCCACCCCTTCATCCAAGCACCCCTTTCGGGCTTCCCCCTGCCTGCCACACACCCCTTCTGACCTTGAGGTTCAGCTGTGCTTTCAAGAGGTCACTCTAGTCCTGGACAACCAGCTCCTGGAGACCGGGGCGAGTCCCCAGCTGCCCTGCCACACGTCAGAGCTCCGGCCGGCCACCGCCAAGAAGGGGCTGGTCCGCAAGCCACAGCCCATCCGCCTCAGGGGAGTGGACTCTGTCTTTGGCAGAGTGGTCACCGCTCAGCCACCTAAGTGGACGGGGACCTTCAGAGTCTCGGACAGGTCAGCCTTCTGCAAGATCATCAGCAGAGAGCACCAGTGGCCCACCGGGCTGAAGGAGCCGCAGATCCAGATGACGGTGGCCATGTGTAAGCAGATGCTGCGGTCCATCCTGCTGCTCTACGCCACCTACAAGAAGTGCACCTTTGCCCTGCAGCACTCCAAGTAGAGGCTTCCTGGGTGCTTCCAGTCCTTGCAAGGCACGTGCCCTTTGCTATGAGCCCGAAGCTTCCAGAAGCCTGTCCGTGGAGAGGGCACTGCCATCAGTGCAGCTACCTCGCTTTCTGGTAAGCAGTGACAATTCAGGAGCCCCCCATACTCCCTCCCCCTCCACAGAAGGGCCAGTGACAGAGCAAGGGAGAGCATTTCTGTTGGGAACTGAACCACCACCGATGTGTGTATATGTCATTAACGAACAATTAAACAAACCAAATAAACGCCGAGCCTAGTGTGACCTCCTTCAGCATCGGACACCGCAACGAACCAGGGCCAGACACAGGAGCGTCCAGGGAGGAGAGTTCAGGGTTTCTGTGCTTGTGAGGACAAGGTGGGGGGGGACATCTGTGAGTCGGGGGCTAACACCTCTGCACCAAGACACCACCACCTACCCAGCTCCCCATACAAGCGGGGAGAAGTACCAACAAATAAGTTCACAATCCGGCAAAATTTCTGGTAGAAGACACGAGCACTGCACATTGTAGCTGATGGGAGCACCCAGATTCTATTTGCGGGTGGGATAGAGGGTAGGGCGCGGGCCCAACCTGACAGTGCTCAAGGGCCACTCCTGGCTACGAAGCCCCGTCTGCCAGGCAAGAACCTTAACTCTAGACAACTTTGCTTCCTCTCCTCCTCCTGTTATATTTTTAACACACTGGCTCATAATGTTTCACTATTTTCCTACTGGGTTACAGATTTTCTAACTGGTACAACTCAGTGTGAAAAATGTTTTCCAAGCTTCACCCTGAGTTGGCCGTGCTTTTCTGCCACTTGGCTCTACTCTGTCTGTATGACCAAGGATTAAAAATAGGTTAAAATGTTGGGTGGGGGTATACCCGGCGATGCTCAGGGATCATTGCTGGAGGTTTCAGGAACATATGGCGTACCCAAGGACCGAACTTGGGTAGCCCACATGCCAGGCAAGCGCCCTACCTGCTGTATTACCACTCTGGCTTCAATAATTTTAAAGAGCCTTTTATGGCGGAATTGATAATGTGAGCATGAGTCTTATTCCTTTGCCCAAATCCTAGTCAATGACATCTAATTCTTGAATATGAAGGAAATTCGGAGGCGACGGGAGAAGGAGACAGACACACAAAACAAAACAAATGAAGTTGCAACACAAAATTTTATTTATTTGTGAAACTGGCACAGCACAAAACTAAATTCTAAAATACACCAGAGTTTCAAATATAGGAATTGGCTTGCAGGCCCGGAACACTGGCCGCTCAGTGGCGTGGCCTGCCACGTTCCCTTACCGCCATGTGAACCTGAGCCAGGTTAAGGTGCTTCTCACAAGGACTGAAGTGATTCACTTAACGGATGCAGTACAACCCCCCGGGGAAGGCCCCAACAAGTCACTTTCCATCAGAAAGGCAATAGGAGGCAGGCTCCGAATGATCCAGTACAAACCTGATCCAGTACAAACCGTCGGGTCATTAAGGCCCAAAAAAGATCCTTCTCATCAGAAACGGGGACAGCAGGCATGAACAGGGCGAAGGCTGAGCACGAACACACAGAAGGGGCGGGGAGGCACGAGTCATGCTACGCTGGGCGTGCAACAGAGCAGTTGGCACGGAAATCACTCGCTGGGGTGTGCGCATCACCAATCGTCACTCTCCGTATTGTGTCGGGTGCGTCTCATCAACTGTCACCAGTGGCTGGTTGGTGTGTGTAACCAATGTCACTGTCATTAGTCGGTGTGGTCAGTTGTCATCACTGTCGGTGTGACTTGTCAACACTAGTCAGGGCGCGCACGTGTCTTATCAGAACCATCACTATTAGCGTGTGTGTGGTCAGAACTGTCACCAGTCGATGTGTGTGATCGTTGTCATTGCTAGTCGGAGTGCACAAGTGTCTAATCAGAATCGTCACTGTCACTAGTCAGCATGTGTGTGATCAGAGCTGTCAGTAGTCGGGGTGCATGTGTCTAATCAGAATGGTCACTGTTACTAGTCAGCGTGAGTGATCAGAGCTGTCACCAGTGGGGCACGCTCATGTCTAATCAGAATCGTCACTGACGTCAGTAGATGATTCCTTTTCTTCATCACTTGCTTCACCATCTTCACCATCCTATGAAGTAAACAGTAATTCAGGGTTATGTTTTGGGGCCACAGTCAGTGGTACTTAGGTTGCTCCTGGCCCTGTGCTCAGGGGTCAGTCCTGGCAGGACCGGGTGAGCAGCACGCAAGCAAACACTCTCCCCGCTGCACAACCTCTCTGGCCCAGACAAATTTTCCTTTAAAGACTCAAAAGAATCTGCTGAGCCCTGCAAGCCCAGGAAGCCCTGCGTCAGTGCAGCCAGGCTCGGGTCGCCAACAGTACCAGGCCCCCCACCCGTGGCTACTCCCCGGACCATCATACTTACTATTTTGGCCTTCCTGGCCATGCCCACACTTACTCCTGGCTCTGGGTGAGAGCACTCCCGTTAATTCCTGGGCATATATGCGAGGCTGGGGAGTCAAACTGGGTCAACCGCGTAACGGCCAGGGGCCTTATCTATCTGGCTTTCATAATTCTTGTCCCCTCCCCCCTCCAGTTTTTCAGCCACACCCAGCAGTGTTATGGTTTTACTCTCAGCTCTGTGCTCAGAGATCACTCTTGGCTGGGCTCAGGGGACCCTATGTGGTGCCAGGGATTGAGCCTGGGTCAGCTACATGGAAGATAGCCTTACCTGCTATATTATCTCTCCAGCCCCATAATAACTACCACTTTTTTGGGGGGGGGGGGCGGCACAGGTGCCTGGTGCTCAGGGTTAACTTCTGAGGGCTCCCTGAGGACCATACAGGGTCCGAGGGATAGAACCCACATCAACTGTGTGCAGGACAAGTACCCTACCTGCTGTACTGTCTTTCTACCTGCTGTACTGTCTTTCTCCCTGCTGTACTGTCTTTCTGGCCCATTCATAAAGTATTTTAAAATTATTTTTAAAACCGCCTAAGGGTCTGGGGAGCACTGAGTGATGCTAGGGAATGAGCGTGCGGTGTGAAGGAGCACTCTTGGGATGAGTGCGCCAGGAAGGGGCCTCCCACAGCTCAGACATGCAGCCTCACCCCTTGGACGCCCAGTTCTTTTTCCCATTAGGCCCCATTATTATTATTATTACCAGAATTATTCCTGGTGATGTTAAAGGGACCGCCTATGGTGCTGGGGACAAGCTGACCCTTTTTATTCTCTGGCTGCCTACTTTTTAATTAGTTTATTTTCTGGTTTTAGGGCCACACCCAGCAACGGTCAGGGCTCACTCCTGGGTCTGGGCTCAAGGCAAGGGCCTCACCTGCTGTGCTCCCTGATGCCTGGCCTCCTATGCTCTTTTCAGTCCTCAAAGATTTTCATTCTGTGGTGAGATGTTGTGGGAGTGTGCGGGTGTTGGCGGGCAGCAGATTCCCCGTGCCTTCCACATGTGAGTGCTCACTGGCACTGAGCCCCACTTGAGGCCCCAGGCTTTCGTTTTCATATTTCTATTTTACGCATTCGAAACTGCTTAAGTGGTTTAACTCAATCTCCACACTCAAAAGTCCACCTTTATCGCCCTTCTGAAGTGATTTCTGGGGTCAGATAGTATTGGGGTCAAGGTCCCTGCCTTGCATGTGGCCGACCCCAATTTAATCTCTCTGCCACCTATGGTTTCCTAAGCACTGCCAGGTGTAGACCACCCACACTCCCCCCAAGAAGCCCCAAAAGACAAAAAAAGATTTGGGGCTGGAGTGACAGTATGAACAACGGGAACCGATGAACAACGGGAGGACAGTGACAGTGATTATTTAAGTTGGATTAAAAAAAATGTTCAGAGTGTATTATTTCTTGCACTCCACACGGTAAAAGTTGCGAGGTAAATTAAATAGGGGAGGGTGTTCGCCTTGCACGCGGCCAACCTGACTCAATCCCTGGCATTCCATATGGTTCCCCGAGCACTGCCAGGAGAAATTCCTGAGTGCTGAGCCAGGAGTAACCACTAAGCATTGTCGCTGTGACCAGTAAGCAGGCACACCAAAAAGGGAAAACAAACAAAAACCAAAAAATACCCAAAGGTTCTAGGAGCAGAGAGACAGCTGAAGGGGTCAAGGACAGCTCTGCTGCAGGAGGCCCAGGTATGAACCACCCAACAACAGAAAATGAGAAAAAGCTACCAAAATGGCTCCAGACGTTCACTGATAGAGGAGGCGGTATTTCAAAGAAATTCTCAACACTTCACTCTCCCGTATGCCACAACTTGAAATACTCAAGAGTGATTACAAGCTTGCATAGTGGTTTTTTCCCTGACCCCACAGAATTTATGAAAGCACAAAAGCTTTCTCTGAGGGAACAGAGATGAACAGCACGTTTTCTTACAAATATGTGCAGGGAACGTCTGCACCTGCCCACTCAGAATAATGAACAAGGAGCTGGAGAAAGAATCTCGAGGGCAGGGCGCTTGCTTTCACACCGATGGCCCGGGTTCCATCCCCAGCATCCCTGATGACCCTGCAAATCCCACTAGGATCCCTGAGCACAGCCAGGTGCAGCCCCGAACGGAAACGAACTGGACAGATACCTCTGCTGCTCTGCTCCCAGAAGCCTGGGGGGATGCGCCGTCCTCGCTCTCTGCTGAGCTCTCCTGGGAATTCTGGGACACGATCTCTTCACCCTACACGGGAGGAAGCAGACGAACAGTGAGCCGCGACAACTACACCTGGGGGGTCCGGGGAGGAAAGCTTGCTTAGGGCACGCCCAGGAGCCCCCTCGAACAGGGACCAGGGGCAGGCACACCCGCCTGTCTTTAGATGTTCTGGAATCCTAGTAGACTGTGTCAGGCCACATTCATCAGTGACGCTCTTGTTCACTGCTAGAAGATTCTAGAGGAGTTAGAGACACAGTGTATCCAGATTTGCGCCCCGGAACCCCCCATGGTCCCCTGAGCATGCCAGGAGCAGTTCCTGCGTGCAGAACCAGGAGTTACTCCTGAGCACTGCC